GTATAGGATCTATCATTTTTTTTAGATTTGTACTATAGTCGCATGTCTGTTCATATGACGTTTTTATTCTTTGCAATAAATGAGTAGCACTTTTGCGTTGGTTGTTTATTAGTGTTTAAATCTTTGTTACCGTTGGACTCTGTACTCTTCACACTTTCAACAGATTAATGCTAATTATTTTTATATGGAATTTAATTTTCTTAAATCTTAGGCTAGATTTGCATAAATCGAATGGGGGTATTAATGACAATGTATATGGTTTGAGTTAGCAATTAATAATTTGCTATAATTTTGGCTAGTAATTTGTTGTAATTTTGGCTAATAATTTGCTGTAATTGTTGGCCAATTTACAGCTGGAAGATTACAAGAGGATAACAACGTGTCATGGCGAGGAGACTCGTGCCTGGAAGATGGTTCGAGTTTGTCCGAAGATCTGTCCGACGGTTATTACGATGCCGGGGATGCAATCAAGTTCAACTTCCCTCAATCATTCGCCATGACTTTGCTTAGTTGGAGTGTCGTTGAGTACAACGCGAAATACGAGGCATCTGGAGAACTCAACCACGTTAAGGAAACCATCAAATGGGGAACTGATTACTTGCTCAAGACCTTTAACAATTCAGCACATACTATCGATCGAGTCGTAACTCAGGTAATACATCGACTTAGTGTATTGACTTAATTTCATTCTTGTTTTTTTTTTCTTGCTGCCTTTCGTTTAAAGAAATTGAATTTTAATTTTACGTGTATTAGTTTCAACCTACGTAGAGATGAAACGACTTGAAAAAAACGTGGAATTGTGCTCTAGGTAATACATCGACTTAGTGAACTAACTTAATTTCATTTTTTTTCTCGCTGCCTTTCGTTTAAACAAATAGAATTCTAATTTGACGTATATCAATTTCAACCTACGTAGAGATGAAACGACTTGAAAAAGCATGGAATTATGCACAATTACCGTCAGCATATATATATCTTTTTCCTCTTACAGAAAAAAAGAAAAATGAAAACAAAAAGTTCTTTATTAGCACACAAGGAAACTAAATTAATAAAGCAAGTTCTTCCCATACTTCAACGTACAACGGTCTGAAAGTTAGATAACCCATTGTCTGAAAAATTGTTTCACTAAGCAAATTAAATTAAAACTCACAATACTATAACAAATAAAAAAATTAAAAAAAATGTTGTACGGTAGGAGAGCTTAGTTCGAGATAGAGGAGGCGGCGGCGGCGGATGACAGGCCAGCGGCCCTGCTGCGTCAGGGGCTCAACAAGATGGAGCGGAGCTGGCTGCTCCGGCCGGATGAGCATAAGACGACGACGAAGAAGCATAATACTATCTTTCTCTGGATGATCAGCGCCATTTTAGCGGCCGACTTAGCCACCGCATTGATCAGCTCTATGGTAAAGAATTTGTCGCGCCACCGCCACCGCCACCACCACCAACCCCCCCTCCCGCCGGATAATTACACTCTGTCTTTGAACAAGGCCCTCATGTTCTTCAACGCCCAACGCTGTAAGTGAAGAAATATTGTTTGACTATATATTAATTTTGTGATTTTTTAGAAGCTGTGAAATAATGTTACGTAATTATTTAACCCATAATTTTTAATATTTAATCTGTTGGCATAATTCATTAATTTATTTCAGCTTGTAATTTTTATTGGGCCCAATATTTAATAAAAGTAAACCCATTATTTATTACAACCCATATTTGTTACTAGCCCATAATTTCTGTTATGTTATTAGCCCAAATTACAGATTCCACCCAATTCCTCTTTTCCTCTTTCTTCTTTAAATAACTAGCACTTTTTCCCCGTGCGATGCACGAGATCCAATTTTAAAAGTGAAAAAAAATAATCAGTTTAACAGATTAAATTTCTATTTTTATGTTTTAGGATTTGGGATATATTGATGAAAAACGGGAGGTTGAAGTATTTTTCACGATTCATCAGTTTGATAATTGTTGAAAATATAGTTAGAAAATTAGTAAAAAAATTAAAAATAAATAATTACATAAATGCCATTAGGGTTTTTTAGGGTTGCCCAACGTTTCTTATTTAAATAACTAGCATTTTTTCCCCGTGCGATGCACGTGCGATACACGGGATCCAATTTTAAAAGTGAAAAAAAAATCAATTTAACAAACTAAATTTCTATTTTTATGTTTTAGGATTTGGGATATATTGATGAAAAACGGGAGGTTGAAGTATTTTTCACGATTCATCAGTTTGATAATTGTTGAAAATATAGTTAGAAAATTAGTAAAACAAATTAAAAATAAATAATTACAGAAATGTCATTAGGGTTTTTTAGGGTTGCCCAATGTTTCTTCTTTTATATATAAGATATATATATATATATATATATATATATATATATATATATATATATATATATATATATATATATATATATATATATATATATATATTATTATTATTAATCTATGATTAGTTAGCTGGTCATTAATCTGTGTATAAATCTTGTTTCTCATCTCCAGCTTCCAGTTCGTCTTCTATTACATATTATTACAACCTATATGTAGTAATTTCTGTATAGGATTTATCATTTTTTTAGATTTGTACTATAGTCGCATCTCTGTTCATATGACGTTTTTATTCTTTGCATTAAATGAGTAGCACTTTTGCGTTGGTTGGTTATTAGTGTTTAAATCTTTGTTACCGTTGGACTATGTACTCTTCACACATTCAACAGATTAATGCTAATTATTTTTGTATGGAATTTAATTTTCTTAAATCTTTGGCTAGATTTGCATAAATCGAATGGGGGTATTAATGACAAGGTATATGGTTTGAGTTAGCAATTTTGGCTAATAATTTGCTGTAATTTTGGCTAGTAATTTACTGTAATTTTGGCTGATGACTTAGCTGCAATTTTGGCTGATAATTTGCTGTAATTTTGGCTAGTAATTTGTTGTAATTTTGGCTAATAATTTGCTGTAATTGTTAGCCGATTTACGGCTGGAAGATTACCGGAGAATAACAACGTGTCATGGCGAGGAGACTCGTGCCTGAAAGATGGTTCGAGTTTGTCCGAAGATCTGTCCGTCAGCTATTACGATGCCGGGGATGCAATCAAATTCGACTTCCCTCAATCATTCGCCATGACTTTGCTTAGTTGGAGTGTCGTTGAGTACAACGCGAAATACGAGGCATCTGGAGAACTCAACCACGTTAAGGAAACCATCAAATGGGGAACTGATTACTTGCTCAAGACCTTCAACGATTCAGCTGATATTATCGACCGAGTCGTAACTCAGGTAATACATCGACTTAGTGTACTGACTTAATTTCATTCTTGTTTTTTTTTCTTGCTGCCTTTCGTTTAAAGAAATTGAATTTTAATTTTACGTGTATTAGTTTCAACCTACGTAGAGATGAAACGACTTGAAAAAAACGTGGAATTATGCTCTAGGTAATACATCGACTTAGTGTACTAACTTAATTTCATTTTTTTTTCTCGCTGCCTTTAATTTAAACAAATTGAATTCTAATTTGACGGATATCAATTTCAACCTACGTAGATATGAAACGACTTGAAAAAATCGTGGAATAATGCTCGGAACCGACCCGAACCCGACAGGACCCCAGTGGACCCTACCCGGACCTGCCTCACCACTGGTCGGTTTCGGGTCTCCAAAAAGTTGGATCCGAACCCGACGGGTCCAACCCGGACCCGGTCTGACCCGTGGCCGTGTTTACTGTTAACAACGTAAATACAAATTTTTTTTTATTATTATTTTTGCCTTTGTTGAACGATCAGCATATTAATATTACTGTCAACCACAGTAATATTACTGTTTAAACGACAAAAAATGTTAAAAAAAAAAGGTTTTCAAAAACAAAAAGTTAACGCCGCAGGAGACCGGCGTCGATGCGGATAAAAGAAAAAAAAAGTCAACGCCACAGGAGACCGGCGTCGATGCGGATAAAAGAAAAAAAAAAGTCAACGCTGAAGACCGACGGTCAACGGATGTGAGGTCAAAATTATAGTAAAAATTGGGTTGGAGGTCAAAATTGAATATTTGGTGAAATTTTGGGTCAAATTAAGATTAAATTAGATTAAATGATGAAATTGGAGCACGTTAATGTGTGATAGTCTTTTACACACCTATAAGTATAACAATAACAATAATAATAAATAAATAAACAGATAATGAGTTACAATTTGTATTTTAGATATTTCAAAACATCAAAATTATTTGCAGTATTTGGCAGTGTTCTTTCATTCATAAATATCTTTCTCAAAAATTTCAAAAAAATTTATACATTAATGTGTTATTAGTAGAGATTTTTAATATTAATGATAATTAATATGACAATGAATTATTTATTAAACATTATATATATAACTATTATAATAATTTTACACTTTCATTTCAAATAGGGTAAATAGAACTTAACCCATGTAGTTTGGACATTTTGCACGTGACCCCATTATGGTATGAAATTACGCACATAACCTCCTTGTGGTTTAGACCTTTTGCACATGACCCCCTTATGGTATGAAATTAGGCACATAACCCCCTTGTGGTTTTGACATTTTGTACATGACCCCCTTATGGTATGAAATTAGGCAACATAACCCCATTGTGGTTTGACATTTTGCACATGACCCCCTTATGGTATGAAATTAGGCACATAACCCCTCACGTTACCCGACGTTAGAGAATCTGTCACTTTCCACGGTTGACCGACCATTGAACTGACCTTTGGATGTTTTTGGACAAAAATACCCCTATAGTTGTGTATAAAAGGATATAGCTCATTCTTACTCTTTTTTACTAAATTTATTCTCAACTTCTTCCATGATTTTAGTTCCCAATCCAAAATTTTCACCCCTAATTTTTGAAAAAAAAAATACTTATATTCTCGAAATTGTTTATAGTTTCTTTTTAAATTTTTGACATTTTACATTTTCGTTTCCCAGCCTAAAATCGTAAGTGTATTCTTTTAAATTATTGATTTATTTTTTCTGTATTATTCCCTAATTTTAGTTGTATTCTTATGAGTTTTTTAATTTATTTTATGGAAATTTTTTTAGTTTTATAATTTTATTCAAAGCCTCTAAAATCTTGATGTAAAATGTCCTCCGGTATTTCTAAAAATGTCGATTTCATTCAATCGCAGTGGAGAAGATGAAAGGGGAGAGGGGATTTTTTCTTACTTTTCTTCCGTTATACGCGTTCAAATAATTGACAAGTTACAAACTCACAAAATGGCTAAGGGTAAAAAAGTAACTTTGCTATAGAAATTAACGGTGTTAAAGATCTGAGAGTTGACTTGCAACATGAGAGACCATTTTGTCGCATTTCGTAGTACATGAGAGGTATATGCGATACTGTGTGATAGTACAACGGGTGCAAGTTGTATCTAACCCTTTTATTTATGGACAATTTGCTATAGGTCCCTTTATATTAGATTTTATGTGAACAAATTCAAGTCATAAGTCCCAATTTTCTTTTATTTCTCACATGTTTAACAAAAGGTATAATAGACTCTACACATTTTCTGCTAAAAAACCAACAGTTAATCAGAGGGGTTTTTGGGTAATTACGAATAGGTGATGATGGTTTTCATTATTTAGCCTAAGTTCAGGGATATTTCGTAATTTACCCTAAATGATTAACAGAAAAGACTACACATTTTACTATTTTAGTAAATGAATTGCGGCTACACGCAATTTCTATATTCAACCACAACTTTCTTGTCTCCCGCCTCAACAGAAGAATATTTTTTTTTTAAATATTTTTGGGCTGGACAAAATTGTTAGAAAATAAATAAAATAAAATTGGCAAAATCCCAGATGGTTACATCGGGTAATAATTGAATGATACACATTCTTGGAATAATTACTGAGTAACAGCACAATTACCGTCAGCAATATATATCTTTTTCCTCTTACAGGAAAAAAGAAAAATGAAAACAAAAAGTTCTTTATTAGCACACAAGGAAACTAAATTAATAAAGCAAGTTCTTCCCATACTTCAACGTACAAAGATCTGAAAGTTATATAACCCATTGTCTGAAAAATTGTTTCACTAAGCAAATTAAATTAAAACTCACAATACTATAACAAATAAAAAAAAATAAAAAAAATGGTGTACGATAGGTGAGCTTCGTTCGAGATAGAGGAGGCGGCGGCGGCGGCGGCGGATGACAAGCCATCGGCTCTTCTGCGTCAGGAGCTCAACAAGATGGTGCGGAGCTGGCTGCTCCGGCCGGATGAGCATAAGACGACGACGAAGAAGCATAATACTATATTTCTCTGGATGATCGGCATCATTTTAGCGGCCGGCTTAGCCACCGCATTGATCAGCTCTATGGTAAAGAATTTGCCGCGCCACCGCCACCACCACCAACCCCCCTCCCGCCGGATAATTACACTCTGGCTTTGAACAAGGCCCTCATGTTCTTCAACGCCCAACGCTGTAAGTGAAGAAATATTTTTTGACTATATATTAATTTTGTGATTTTTCAGAAGCTGTGAAATAATGTTACGTGATTATTTAACCCATAATTTTTAATATTTAATCTGTTGGCATAATTCATTAATTTATTTCAGCCCCTAATTTTTATTGGGCCCACATAATTTTTAATATTTAATCTGTTGGTATAATTCATTAATTTATTCCAGCCCCTAATTTTTATTGGGCCCAAATATTTAATAAAAGTAAGCACATTATTTATTACCCAGCCCATATTTGTTACTAGCCTATAATTTCTGTTATGTTATTAACCCAAATTACAGATTCCACCCAATTCTTCTTTTCCTCTTACTTGTTTAAATAACTAGTATTTTTTACCCGTGCGATGCACGGGATCCAATTTTAAAAGTGAAAAAATATAATCAATTTAACAAATTAAATTTCTATTTTTATGTTTCAGGATTTGGGATACATTGATGAAAAACGGGAGGTTGAAGTATTTTTCACGATTCATCAATTTGATAATTGTTGAAAATATAGTTAGAAAATTAGTAAAAGAAATAAAAAATAAATAATTACAGAAATGCCATTAGGGTTTTTTTAGGTTACCCAACGTTTCTTTCTTTTATATATATATATATATATATATATATATATATATATATATATATATATATATATATATATATATATATACCATTCAAAAATTTCTCAATGTAGTAAAAGAACATATTCTTTGGATTATTATTATTAATCTATGATTAGTTAGCTGGTCATTAATCTGTGAATAAATCTTGTTCCTCATCTCCAGCTTCCAGTTCGTCTTCTATTACATATTATTACAACCTATATTGAGTAATTTCTGTATAGGATCTATCATTTTTTTTAGATTTGTACTATAGTCGCATGTCTGTTCATATGACGTTTTTATTCTTTGCAATAAATGAGTAGCACTTTTGCGTTGGTTGGTTATTAGTGTTTAAATCTTTGTTACCGTTGGACTCTGTACTCTTCACACTTTCAACAGATTAATGCTAATTATTTTTATATGGAATTTAATTTTCTTAAATCTTAGGCTAGATTTGCATAAATCGAATGGGGGTATTAATGACAATGTATATGGTTTGAGTTAGCAATTAATAATTTGCTATAATTTTGGCTAGTAATTTGTTGTAATTTTGGCTAATAATTTGCTGTAATTGTTGGCCAATTTACAGCTGGAAGATTACAAGAGGATAACAACGTGTCATGGCGAGGAGACTCGTGCCTGGAAGATGGTTCGAGTTTGTCCGAAGATCTGTCCGGCGGTTATTACGATGCCGGGGATGCAATCAAGTTCAACTTCCCTCAATCATTCGCCATGACTTTGCTTAGTTGGAGTGTCGTTGAGTACAACGCGAAATACGAGGCATCTGGAGAACTCAACCACGTTAAGGAAACCATCAAATGGGGAACTGATTACTTGCTCAAGACCTTTAACAATTCAGCACATACTATCGATCGAGTCGTAACTCAGGTAATACATCGACTTAGTGTATTGACTTAATTTCATTCTTGTTTTTTTTTTCTTGCTGCCTTTCGTTTAAAGAAATTGAATTTTAATTTTACGTGTATTAGTTTCAACCTACGTAGAGATGAAACGACTTGAAAAAAACGTGGAATTGTGCTCTAGGTAATACATCGACTTAGTGAACTAACTTAATTTCATTTTTTTTCTCGCTGCCTTTCGTTTAAACAAATAGAATTCTAATTTGACGTATATCAATTTCAACCTACGTAGAGATGAAACGACTTGATAATGTAGTAAAAGAACATATTCTTTGGATTATTATTATTAATCTATGATTAGTTAGCTGGTCATTAATCTGTGTATAAATCTTGTTTCTCATCTCCAGCTTCCAGTTCGTCTTCTATTACATATTATTACAACCTATATGTAGTAATTTCTGTATAGGATTTATCATTTTTTTAGATTTGTACTATAGTCGCATCTCTGTTCATATGACGTTTTTATTCTTTGCATTAAATGAGTAGCACTTTTGCGTTGGTTGGTTATTAGTGTTTAAATCTTTGTTACCGTTGGACTATGTACTCTTCACACATTCAACAGATTAATGCTAATTATTTTTGTATGGAATTTAATTTTCTTAAATCTTTGGCTAGATTTGCATAAATCGAATGGGGGTATTAATGACAAGGTATATGGTTTGAGTTAGCAATTTTGGCTAATAATTTGCTGTAATTTTGGCTAGTAATTTACTGTAATTTTGGCTGATGACTTAGCTGCAATTTTGGCTGATAATTTGCTGTAATTTTGGCTAGTAATTTGTTGTAATTTTGGCTAATAATTTGCTGTAATTGTTAGCCGATTTACGGCTGGAAGATTACCGGAGAATAACAACGTGTCATGGCGAGGAGACTCGTGCCTGAAAGATGGTTCGAGTTTGTCCGAAGATCTGTCCGTCAGCTATTACGATGCCGGGGATGCAATCAAATTCGACTTCCCTCAATCATTCGCCATGACTTTGCTTAGTTGGAGTGTCGTTGAGTACAACGCGAAATACGAGGCATCTGGAGAACTCAACCACGTTAAGGAAACCATCAAATGGGGAACTGATTACTTGCTCAAGACCTTCAACGATTCAGCTGATATTATCGACCGAGTCGTAACTCAGGTAATACATCGACTTAGTGTACTGACTTAATTTCATTCTTGTTTTTTTTTCTTGCTGCCTTTCGTTTAAAGAAATTGAATTTTAATTTTACGTGTATTAGTTTCAACCTACGTAGAGATGAAACGACTTGAAAAAAACGTGGAATTATGCTCTAGGTAATACATCGACTTAGTGTACTAACTTAATTTCATTTTTTTTTCTCGCTGCCTTTAATTTAAACAAATTGAATTCTAATTTGACGGATATCAATTTCAACCTACGTAGATATGAAACGACTTGAAAAAATCGTGGAATAATGCTCGGAACCGACCCGAACCCGACAGGACCCCAGTGGACCCTACCCGGACCTGCCTCACCACTGGTCGGTTTCGGGTCTCCAAAAAGTTGGATCCGAACCCGACGGGTCCAACCCGGACCCGGTCTGACCCGTGGCCGTGTTTACTGTTAACAACGTAAATACAAATTTTTTTTTATTATTATTTTTGCCTTTGTTGAACGATCAGCATATTAATATTACTGTCAACCACAGTAATATTACTGTTTAAACGACAAAAAATGTTAAAAAAAAAAAGGTTTTCAAAAACAAAAAGTTAACGCCGCAGGAGACCGGCGTCGATGCGGATAAAAGAAAAAAAAAAGTCAACGCCACAGGAGACCGGCGTCGATGCGGATAAAAGAAAAAAAAAAGTCAACGCTGAAGACCGACGGTCAACGGATGTGAGGTCAAAATTATAGTAAAAATTGGGTTGGAGGTCAAAATTGAATATTTGGTGAAATTTTGGGTCAAATTAAGATTAAATTAGATTAAATGATGAAATTGGAGCACGTTAATGTGTGATAGTCTTTTACACACCTATAAGTATAACAATAACAATAATAATAAATAAATAAACAGATAATGAGTTACAATTTGTATTTTAGATATTTCAAAACATCAAAATTATTTGCAGTATTTGGCAGTGTTCTTTCATTCATAAATATCTTTCTCAAAAATTTCAAAAAAATTTATACATTAATGTGTTATTAGTAGAGATTTTTAATATTAATGATAATTAATATGACAATGAATTATTTATTAAACATTATATATATAACTATTATAATAATTTTACACTTTCATTTCAAATAGGGTAAATAGAACTTAACCCATGTAGTTTGGACATTTTGCACGTGACCCCATTATGGTATGAAATTACGCACATAACCTCCTTGTGGTTTAGACCTTTTGCACATGACCCCCTTATGGTATGAAATTAGGCACATAACCCCCTTGTGGTTTTGACATTTTGTACATGACCCCCTTATGGTATGAAATTAGGCACACACTACAACAAAAATCTGTTTTCCAGACACAAAAAAACGCCTTAATATATGGTATTTTGGGACACTTAGACTTATTGGGGCAAATAAACTATATGTCACGTAGTTGTGCATTGCAATAGGTCACGAGGCACTTATTATCCGTCTCATTATAAATTCCTTTTTAAGGCAATTAAATGTGTCCCAATAAAGGGTTATTAAGGCACTAATATATACCCCATATTAATTTCGATTTTTTCTGGAAATCTTTTCACGACACTTACATGTGTCCATAAAATCTATTATTAAGATGCTTACACACGTCCCAATATATAATTATAAGGGCATTAACAATTGTCCTATTAAACTCTTATTGAGACATAAATTTTACGGATTGAAAAACTTTTATCGGCACTTAGAAATGTCCTAATACAAATTTTACGACACAAAAGATTTTATTGAATGGACATAAATAAATGTCCTAAAATTTTTCCGGAAAATAATAAATATAATAATAATTAAAAAAATTTCCCTACAAATTACTGATTACTGATTATTTTATTCATTCAAATTACTGATTCCACTCAATTCCTCTTTTCCTCTTACTTCTTTAAATAACTAGTATTTTTTCCCCGTGCGATGCACGGGGTCCAATTTTAAAAGTGAAAAAAAAATAATCAATTTAACAAATTAAATTTCTATTTTTATGTTTTAGGATTTGGGATACATTGATGAAAAACGGGAGGTTGAAGTATTTTTCACGATTCATCAATTTGATAATTGTTGAAAACATAGTTAGAAAATTAGTAAAAAAAATTAAAAATAAATAATTACAGAAATGCCATTAGGGTTTTTTAAGGTTGCCCAATGTTTATTTCTTTTATATATATATATGTACCATTCAAAAATTTCTCAATGTAGTAAAAGAACATATTCTTTGGATTATTATTATTAATCTATGATTAGTTAGCTGGTCATTAATCTGTGAATAAATCTTGTTCCTCATCACCAGCTTCCAGTTCGTCTTCTATTACATATCGTTACAACCTATATTTAGTAATTTCTGTATAGGATCTATCATTTTTTTAGATTTGTACTATAGGCGCATCTCTGTTCATATGACGTTTTTATTCTTTGCATTAAATGAGTAGCACTTTTGCGTTGGTTGGTTATTAGTGTTTAAATCTTTGTTATCGTTGGACTCTGTACTCTTCACACTTTCAACAGATTAATGCTAATTATTTTTGTATGGAATTTAATTTTCTTAAATCTTTGGCTAGATTTGCATAAATCGAATGGGGGTATTAATGACAATGTATATTGTTTGAGTTAGCAATTAATAATTTACTGTAATTTTGGCTGATGACTTGCTGCAATTTTGGCTGATAATTTGCTGTAATTTTGGCTAGTAATATGCTGTAATTTTGGCTAATAATTTCTTGTAATTGTTGGCCAATTTACAGCTGGAAGATTACAAGAGGATAACAACGTGTCATGGCGAGGAGACTCGTGCCTGAAAGATGGTTCGAGTTTGTCCGAAGATCTGTCCGGCGGTTATTACGATGTCGGGGATGCAATCAAGTTCAACTTCCCTCAATCATTCGCCATGACTTTGCTTAGTTGGAGTGTCGTTGAGTACAACGCGAAATATGAGGCATCTGGAGAACTCAACCACGTTAAGGAAACCATCAAATGGGGAACTGATTACTTGCTCAAGACCTTTAACAATTCAGTTGATACTATCGACCGAGTCGTAACTCAGGTAATACATCGACTTAGTGTACTGACTTAATTTCATTCTTGGTTTTTTTTTTCTTGCTGCCTTTGGTTTAAACCTACGTAGAGATGAAACGACTTGAAAAAAAACGTGGAATTATGCTCTAGGTAATACATCGTCTTAGTGTACTAACTTAATTTCATTCTTTTTTCTCGCTGCCTTTCGTTTAAACAAATAGAATTCTAATTTGACGTATATCAATTTCAACCTACGTAGAGATGAAACGACTTGAAAAAAACGTGGAATTATGCTCGGTTTGACAGTTTATAGAATTTTTGTTTGTATGTAAAAATAAATAGACGGATCATATGTAATGTATGAGGGTTTGATGTTGGCAGGTGGGAAGAGGGGGTTGCCCAAGTGGTACCGATCCGAATGACCACTCGTGTTGGATGCGACCCGAAGACATAGATTACGAGAGACCTGTGACGGAATGTCACAGGTGCTCTGATCTAGCTGTGGAGATGGCTGCAACTCTAGCATCACCTTTGATTGTGTTCAAGGACAGTATTCTATATTCGCATCAGCTGATCCGTGGTGCAGAGACGCTCTTTCAGTTTGCGAGGGAGCAACGCGGCCTTTACAACATTGAGAATCAGGCAGCCAATTTTTATAAATCGACGAGCTATTGGGATGAGTTCGTGTGGCGTGCCACGTGGCTTTACTACGCCACGGGGAACATCTCGTACCTCGAGCTAGCGACCGCCCCGGCTCTCGCCACACGTGTCGGGGCCCTTGAGAGGAGCCACAGAGTTTTTAGTTGGGATAACAAGCTCCTAGGAGCCCAAGTAAGTTATTTATTTATTTAATTAATTTATTTTTCGCTTAGTAGTTAATAATAAACACTAATCCAATTTTGTTTTTTTTTTTTTTGATTTTATATGTAGGTGCTTTTGACTCGTGTACGGATATTTCTGAGCCCAGGATATCCGTACGAGCAGATTCTAAACGAATTCCACAAGCAGACGGAGTTGAGCATGTGCTCATTCTACCGAACTACACCTCGTTCAACCGAACACGAGGTACATGTGTGAATAGTATTATTATTCTTTTTTGGATTAAGTGCATTTTGCCCCCTACACTTTAGCCTATTTTCACTTTGCACCCTATACTTTGGTATGTTTTGAACTTTGCCCCTATACATTGGTCTATTTTGCACTTTGCCCCCTATACTTTGGTTTGTTTTGCACTTTGTCCCCCTACACTTTGGCCTATTTTCACTGTGCCCCCTATACTTTGGTCTGTTTTGCACTTTGCCCCCTATATTTGGTATGTTTTGCACTTTGACCCCTATACTTTGGTATGATTTGCACTTTGCCCCCTATACTTTGACCTATTTTGCACTTTCACCCCTATACTTTGGTATGTTTTGCACTTTTCCCCCTATACTTTGACCTTTTTTGCACGTTGCCCCCTATACTTTGACATGTTTTCACTTTGCCCCCTATACATAGGTCTGTTTTGTACTTTGCCGCCCAAAAAAAAATTTGCACTATGATGCATAGCTTACTAATTCGTTGCATGGTGACTTAAAAGTCAATATTTGGCTAAAATCTTGCCTGAGGCCCTGAGTTACCCACGTGAGATACCCACGTGTGAGAATGGAGGGTTAATTCCGCCAATTCATAAAGTTTTTAAAAGAAAGAAAAAGGAAAAATGAAAAAAAAGGAAAACGAGAAAAGAAATGGCTGTCATCGTCTTCTTCAATTCTTCCTCTTGGCAGTCGAACAGGGGAGGGGAGGCTTTCTCCGGCGAGTATGAGACAAATGAGAATCTTATACCCAATTCACCCGTGGCCCATTCATTCACCGCCCAATCCAAACCCGGTTCAAGAGAATCTTATACATTAATGTGTTATTAGTAGAGATTTTTAATATTAATGATAATTAATATGACAATTAATTATTTATTAAACATTATTTATATAACTATTATAATAATTTTACACTTTCATTTCAAATAGGGTAAATAGCACTTAACCCCGTGTAGTTTGACATTTTGCACATGACCCTATTATGGTATGAAATTAGACATATAACATCGTTGTGGTTTAGACATTTTGCACATGACCCCCTTATGGTATGAAATTAGGCACATAACCCCCTTGTGGTTTTGACATTTTGCACATGACCCCCTTATGGTATCAAATTAGGCACATAACCCCCTTGTGGTTTAGACATTTTGCATATAACCCCCTTATGGTATGAAATTAAGCACATAACTCCCTTGTGGTTTTGACATTTTGCACATGACCCCCTTATGGTATGAAATTAGACACATAACCCCCTTGAACAGAAAACTGGAAAAGACTAAATTAGCCCTAAAGTTTAGCCAAAATGCAATCATACCAACTGTTCGTTGGTTACTCTATCAAGTTAAAATTTATTGTTTTAATTTAAAAATAACTATTCTATAAAATGAAAAGCTTAATGTACTTTTTTGTAAAGTGAGAAATATAATATATTATTGTGTATTTTTAATTTTACAACACAAAAGGTATATAATACTAGTTATCGTACGATTGAAAATTTATTCAGTTTTAGAAACCAATTTGAAAATCTCATATGCTACAAATCAAATATAAAAGGATTAAACTCGATAAAATTATGAACTATCAATTTATTTGTTCAATTATATAAATAATTCTACATATTTCAAAGCTTTAATATTATTATTAATTATGATTATTATTTACTATTTTCTATATAATATATTATATTATAGGTGTTACCGAATTTTAATTTTTTGAAAGCAAAATCTTTATTCTTTAGGGGTAATTTAGTCTTTTCCATTTTTCTATTCAAGTAGATTATGTGCCTAATTTCATACCATAAGGGAGTCATGCAAAATTTCAAAACCATAAGGGGTTATGTGCCTAATTTCATACTATAAGGAGGGCATGTGCAAAATGTCCAAACCACAAGGGGGTTATGTACCTAATTTCATACCATAAGGGGGTCATGTGCAAAAGCGGATCTGGGTTGGGTCCGGGGCAAAATGGACACGTGGTCGTGTCTACTATCATCTCCATTTCGTTTTTATTTTATTTTTTATTTTTTATTTTTTATATGTATTTTTTCCCTTTTCAGTTAATATTAATCACTACAATATTAATCAACTAAAGAGCAAGATTGTAAAAAGCGGTAATCGGGTCCAAGTCGGTCAGGCACCGACTCACGATTAATCGGTGCGGCGGTAATTAATCGGTGATAAATCGGAAATAAATCGATTTTTAAAATTTATTATAATATATTTCTAAATATTATTTATAATACTCCAAATATATATAAAAAGATGTTTATAACATAGTTATATCTCCATCATGTATATATCCTAATAACATAATAAAAGTTTATTAATCATAAGATCATAATACATAAATATTCTTATAAAATATAAATAAATAAAACAATTTTTTTGAATTTACATTTATTCTTGGCTTAATTCCACTTTGCACCCTTGAAATATACCATTTTGGCACTTTGCACCCTCGAAATAAATAAATAGCACTTTGCACCCTCGAAATACAATAAATCATGCATAATGCACCCCAAATGATTTTTTTAAAGCTAAAAAATGTAAATTTAATATTTTGTAGTGATATTTTTTTTAGGATGCCAAATGTCAAATATTTTTTCTTTATGTATCATTAATTTTGAAACTATTAAGTTCAAAAATAAAAATACATACCATCAACATATTTAAAAAAGATATTGTTTTATCAAAATAAAATATTTTACGAAAAAAAATCATTCAACTATTACGTTATCAAGTTATCTGAAAATTATTTTTTCTTCCAAATATATTCACCTAATATTTTACAAACAGTGACATAAAAGATCCACAATCGAATAATTTAGTGATAAAAGATTTTTTTTATTTTTATTTTGAAAGATAATGTAGTTTTTTTAAATAATCCTGTGTAATTTTTATTTTTTCGCACTTTGTCCGCTCGAAATTAGGTTTGAGGTTCAAGAAAATAACAATTTTTTTTTTATTTTGTACCCAAAAAAGAAAAACACCAATGAAAAATAAAATTGCTTTTATTATTCAATTGAGGGTGCATTGTGAATGATTTATTGTGTTTTGAGGGTGCAAAGTGCTATTATTATTTTTCGAGGGTGCAAAGTGCCAAAATGGTATATTTCAAGGGTGCAAAGTGGAATTAAGCCTTTATTCTTGAACATTTCTGGCATACATCATTAGTTCTGTAACAATAACAATTAACATAAACAAAATAAGGCATAAACTCATATTTTCTTTTATTAAAATCCAACTTTTATTTTGAATTATAAAAAGAAAAAAAAAAAAAAACCGATTTTTAACCGATTTTTGACCGATTTTTGCCACCGAGTTTGACCCGCCTTAAAGGTTTGACCGCCTCAGACCGCCTAAAACCGCCTCACAGGCAAAAAACCGATTTTTCAAACCTTTACACTAAAATCGTAAAGGTTTTGGACCGCCTCCGCCTCGGAGACCGATTAATCGGCCGCCTCGGCCGATTTTTAGAACACTGCTAAAGAGTAGCGATTAAGGAATCGGCAACTAAAATCATAGTTGAATAATAAAATTGACCACCAAAAGTAACAAAAACAACCGTAATGTCATCAATGAATCTCAATACAATTCCACAAAAGAATCCAATCAATAACCAACCGCAGAAAATGACAAAAACACCTACAGAAATAGAGAAAACCAACTATTTAAAAAAAAATTACAAAAATTGTAACTGCTTAGTACTAATTTGATAATGAATTGCTTCTAATTTGATAATGAATTGATTATGGCAGAATAAAAGATACACAATCACTATGCTCCCAAGTCCAACTGCATATGACAAAATAAGGAATCAATTAACAAAAATTCAAAGATGAATTAAAAAAGTGTAGTTGATTAACCTTTATGGATTACTAAAACTTAGTTGATTAATTTTAATGGACTACTGAAACGTAGTTGATTATGGATCCAACTCAGTTCCACCCCCAAGCTCCATCACCAACTTCCACCGACTTCCTCCGCACACGCTCTCCTCTGCGCAATTGTCCTTTCGCCAATGAATCTAAGAGGTTTTCTAATCTAAACGAATCGCATTACAAAAATTAATTGTTTTTTTGAAACCGTAAAATGTACCTCTATATTGGAAATGTGTTGATCTATTTCGATAATTGTTGCTTTCAAACCGAAATTATCAGAAAAACTTCACTTGTATAGTAGTCAATTTTTTCAAGTTTTCAGTTGAGAGGATTTTAAATAATTATCAGAAGGCTTACAAAATTATGTTTGAAAAATGTATACAGAATTATACATAGGTTCCTGCATATATAACCCCATAAATTATTCTAGATATACAATAATGCATAACGAAATTTAAATAATTAAATTCATTTCATTAAACAAGATTTACAACTATTTTAAAAACTCAATCATAATTTGGACTATAACAAATACAAGTAATTAATACTTTCACAATTTATTTCTCAACACCGATTTATGTATTGTATTGTTCAGCAATACTTTACAGTTTACAAACACCACCAACTTTTGCTTCTCAGCTATATTTCATTTTTCCTATATAATTAATAAATAAAGCATCTATACATGTCTATTTACTTTTGAAGGTATATACAATCATATCATGCTTCATCTTATTTTATTAAACTATTAATTATATATATGTGGGAAAAAAATAATACATTTTTCATCCCTTAAGTTTACCTCGATTTCATTATTGGTCCTCCTTATTCACAAAAAATAGATTTAGTCCCTCGTGTTTCAAAAATTCAACGTTTTTAGTCATTTCCGTCAATTTTCCATTACTTCTAACGGAATCAATCGTGTGCCCATCTTAACTGAAGGACAAACAGGAAATTGACGGAAATGATCAAAATGGTTAAATTACTGAAACCCGAGGGACTAAATGTGTTTTTTTGTGAACATGAGGACCAAATGTGAAACCGTACAAACTTGAGGGATGAAAACTATAAAATTCCCAATATATTAGAGATCAAAGCTGTGGCTGTTGAAATGGAAAATGGCCTGATTGCCCCTTCGACTGAGATTCTGTGTTCGACACTCTTTAGCAACACTTTTCTGAAGAGTTGAAGGCCCACAAACTATTACACCTATGTCAACCATTCCCCATTTTTCTGCACTTGATTCAAATATTTCTGTACCAAAAAATCCACAATTAATTAAATAATTCACAATTAATTAAATTAAAATCAGGAAAATTGCAATTTTCATCCCTTAAGTTTGCATTGATTTCACATCTTGGTCCTCCATGTTCACAAAAAATACATCTGGTCCCTCATGTTTCAATAATTTAACATTTAAGACATTTCCGTCAATTTACCGTTATTTTGTCCGTTAATGCAATGGCGGACACTTCTTGATTCCGTTAGTACTAACAGAAAATTGACGGCAAGGACTAAAAGTTTTGAATTTTCGAAACATGAGGGACCAAATGTAGTTTTTGTGAACACGAGGGACTAAATGTGAAATCAATGCAAAGTTAAGGGATGAAAACTGTTTTTTCCAATTAAAATCACTAAATCATTCACTACTCATCCCAAAAATAAAAAATAAATTAAAAAAAAAAGACAAATTCGTTATAAAACGTACCTTTGAACTCCGGCCTCTGACCATACCGAACGGTGTTTAAGTATTGTTCCTTGCCGTAATTCTTGTCGATTTTCGGCTCATTTTCTTGCGGATTTCCGTTCGTTAACTTCTCGTCAAATTCGTCACGAACCGAATTTTTAATTTCCCAAAAATGCCATAATCCAATCACCGCACCTCCGAAGAGAATAACACTCGCTACCATGCACACAATAAACAGAAGCCCCTTGTACCACCAATAATCCACGTTGTAAGGATTTATGTAATGAATATCGAGCAAAGCCACGGTTATTACCAAACCAAGTGTCGATGCAATAACATATAATCCAGACCATACTATGTTTCCAGTCCCAACCAATACAGATATCCCGCATTTCTTCGAGGCTCGAAAAACGGCAGAATTAACGGGCTCGATCAATTTTCCTTCTTCCTGCATTTGGAAACAGATTAAAATAATTAACATAGAAACATAGAAAAGAAAAATAGAGTGGAATCCGTTTATTGTACATACCAATGAAGGCTCCGATTCTCGAGTGACGTAAGTTTTGATTTCGAGGTTGAGTGAATCGGAGAAAGATGGAAAGTTCGAATTGATGCCAACTGTACTAAGAAGTGGAAGCTCGATCGATGTTTTAACCGCCCATATTATGAGTACGTTTTTAGGCAGACAAGGTTTCCCATCTTTGATTCGGTGAAGAATGTCACTTAGTATAGCAAGAAACGGCGAAATTCCGATTCCGCCCGCTATCAATATGAGGTTTTCGTACCTAAATTACGAGTACGGAATAACTAATATGTTAACTTTCTAATTAATATCAAACCAGAGGAAAAAAAATCAGAGTATATATACGTACGTCAAGTGGTAAGGCGATTCATGACCGTAAGGCCCTTCGACAGAAGCCGTAATTTCGGGATAAGGTTGTTGTCCTTTCTCAGACATAATCGAGATACTTTTCTCGAGTTTCTCGGTCCAGTCACCGAGAACCTTTATAAGGATAGCAACATGGTGTTTACCATCAAGAGGACTTGAAGATACACTAAATGGATGCCATTGAAGCCAAGATAATTCTCGAACTCGAAGAAAAATCCATCCAAGTGCATTATAGTGCAAATCTGCAAAAAAAAAAAAAATCGAAAAATTATGGTGGCGAAAAAATTGTCTCGTAATTGATAAAAAGATCAATTTTTTTTTTTTTACTTGCGGGTTTGGAAAGAACTAGTTCAAGAGTGCCACACGGGAAGGATCTTGCGGTAAGGACGTTGACCGTCCTTTTTGACTGACAGAATCTAAGAAAACGATCGAGCATGAAAAGGAATATTCCTCCGGCAGCGAAACAGAAGAGGAAATCGCCGACATGCAAAGCCAAGCAGACAACGAAGACTATGTATAATTGGTGTGTGTAGAAAAATAACTCGAAATTAATCCTCCTCACACCGGGTAGTGATGTCACCCACATAAGTATACCGGCCACTAGGGCGATGACACCTGGCAGATTCGCAACGCCTATATTATCCCACTCTAGTAGCTGCACCAAACATAAAAAGTTAGCATTTTCATCATCTTGAAAATAATTTAATAAAATATTTTGAAAATTAGGGGCACCTCGTGAATTAGGCGCCCGTCGATTGTCCAACCAATCACGTAGAAGAGGCCGTGTAGTGTGAATAGCAACATTGTGAGGTGTCCTAGCCAAACGTGATATCTTACGGCATGTTCGAAGGGTATATCTATAAGACGAAGAAGAATCGAGCCTCGTGCGACGGGCAAAAACAAAAAGCCTAAGCAAAATAGTCCGATCAAACCCATACGAAGGGCGGTGAGTTCCAGCATATAAACACTGAAAAATAATCCGAGTTACAACAATAAATCATCGGTTATATTTAAAAGAAAAAATCGATCCGACCCGCGTAAACGGAATATTTATGGAACGTTCGTAAAATATGAGTACCTCTTCTCTCTTGAAGGAAGATGTAACAATGACACGAATTGACTGTTCTTGACAATTTCGACCGAAACAGCCCAAGCGACGTACGCCGTGAAAAGGAATATCCCGATCATCTCGGCGGCGGAGACCACCCCGAATGGTCCGTCGACGACAACCGGAAACGTCCACAGCCGGAACCGTGGCGGCTGCCGCCTTGAAATCTCATTCCTGTACGGACACACAAAAAATAATCTCAAAGTTAGTTATTACAACAAGTGAGAGCATTTAATATAAAAACTTGAATTAATTACATATATTATATATACCCCTCAATTGTTTCTTCCCCAACAAGAACAATATACGCAGTGGCAAGAAACGCAAGAACGAGGATTGGGGCACTAAAAAGCATAAATATACTCCCTGCAACCAAAAACAAAGTAAAAAAACTTTAGTGACCAAAAAATTCAAACCCCAGAATTCAGTGACGAAAAAGAAAAAGGATTTGTCGCAAAAATTAGTCACCTGTGTAACCGAACAGAGTTCCGTCGGAAACAAGAAGCCATTTGTTGTACAAACCGCTGACGAAATCAGATGGGAAGAGAAAAATGAAAGAAGCCCATGCAACGAAAATTACCCACATTGCCACTCTGAGAATCCATTTTGCTGACGTCAGCAAAATGGGTTTCTTCTTGGAGTAGCCGCCGCCATAGCCACTGGTATCTTGTTTTGTTGAGAGAAGAGGTACTTGGCTTGATTTTTCATCCATTATTATATTAGATTAAATTTAAAAATGCAGAAATATAAGGAAGCAAAAAGGGCTTTTACATATATATACAGATTTAGGAAAAATCAAATCAATCACCATTGATCATGTATATATGAATATATCCAGAAAATTGCAGAAACCATAGCCACACAAAACTATAGACCACTCAATTTTTACATCATTTATTTATATTGTATTATTTTTGGTGTGATAGAGATAGTGATAATAATTCAGAAATTAGTTAGCTGTTTCTGTTGATATTTTGGGTCGTGAGAATAAATATTTTTGATAGAAAATTGCACATCACCTCCGTAAATTTTTTATTTTCCGACTTTACCGTCTCAAAATCTTTAAAAGTGAACATTCCCTTCAAAATATTATTTTTACTGCACGCTGCTCTGATAGTAAAATTTCGATGGATTATTCATTGAAATTAAGTATTTTTTGCACATTACCCATTTAAAATATAATTTTTGTTACAAAGTTTCCTCCGAAAATTAGCTTGTAGGGCAACGTGCTAATAAATAATATTTCGAAAGGGAGTATCTATTTTTTGAGTTTTTAGGGGTGGAAATGCGAAAATAGAAAATTTATGGGGAGTGAAATGCATTTTATCCTACTTTTAAAATGTGTACTCTGATGAGAGTGAGAGTGAAGTCAGATGTTGGGAACTGAAGTTTGTTGGGATCAGCTACTACAGAATAATAATTGAATTCGGTGCGTAATTGTTAAATTTTTTTATAGGATAAATTACAACCATCCGTTAAGTATGGTAAAATTACGAATACCTCACTCTTATTTGGGTAATTACAATCATCTCTTCAACTATAAATCTTCTTATACATTCACCCTTGCGGTTTTAAATTTAGTGGAATCTTCTAGATTATATCGAATATTCTCAATTTTCGACCCGTTTTATTCCATCTGAGGTCTACATTTTGAAGCTAGATGATTATAAGATGTGTTTTTTGACTTGTATATATCAAATTGTGGTGCATTATAGACTGTATTTTTGCACTAAACGAGTTCAAACTAGTGACCATTCCACGGAATTTAGATGATTATGTTGAATTTGGCACCATACGGGAGGAGGTGTAAGAAGATTCATAGCTAAAGAGTAGATGTAATGATCGAAACAGAAGATATTTTTTCAAAATTTGACCATAACTCAAGGAGTGGTTGTAATTTACCATTTTTTATATGTATAGTTTCTTTATTTTTTCTCGAGGCGAAATGCATAGTTTTTTTTTTTTTTTTTTTTTTTTTTTTTGGTAATGCAGGAACCCGCAGCCAACCATATAGGTGCACTGGGTAAACCTACACTCTCGTATAATAGCTTGCAAACCATACGAGAGATGTAAACCACACTAGGCTAACCATGTGTGACAAGCTCGACCTAGCGACCGTTGGCAAGGGGAGAAATGCATAGTTAAACATATATAAAGTTATAGATCTACTCAACTTATACAATTTTATTAATTCAGAAAAATATTTAATAATCGATAAATTAATAATTATGGGTTTATAAAATTTGAATATTGGACGGTGAAGAAACTACAATCGCAAAACTTAATTCCATGTTGAGCTAGAATAATAAAACTTGATATTGCGATGCACGGGGTGATATTCCAAAAGTGAAGAAAATAATGATTTAAGCACATGAAATTAAAAATGGACATATTTGAAGAAAATATTAAGTGAATAATCATTGAAAATAAGGCGAAAAATAGGAGATTAAATAAGAATAAAAAGGAAATAGATGTATTATTTTGGGTTGTCGCACACATATTAAGAAAATTAATAAATATGTGTTGATTTTAGAAAAAAACATATAATGCGACTAAAGTACCCCTATCATTAATCTTAGTTTCATTAATTTCCTCTTTACTAATTAACATTAATAAGGGCAGAATTGACAAAACAGTAATTAATGCATCATTGAAAGTCTAAAGTGACAGATAATAGGGAACAAGAAAAACTCCCCAAAGTGACACTTAATTTGGAACGGAGATAGTATAAAGATATAATGATACATACTTTGCACTCTTGAAAACGAATGCCCTTATGCTATGTTCCTTCCTTAAGGTAGTGTTTGCAAACGCTTTTTCAAAGTGATTATGAGTTTTTTACTGTTTAAAGTTAACTGATTTTGAACAAAAGAAAACTTATAATCACTTTGAAAAAACATTTGCAAAAACCACCTGAATAGAATAGACATTTTTTTTTGAGTTGTCCTCAAGAAATGAACCTCTACCATTTAAGGAATGGAGTAAAGGAACCGTTTTATCAACTAATTGATTAGCTAGTTAGGTGTGTCGTTTACATTAACAAGGCCAAACTTAAATACTTGTGTGTGATATTACTATAGTTTTCACTTCAATTTTGCAATTTTTCCTTTGTTGTATACGCGGCTAGGCCTTTTCGTCTCGCCCTTGTGAACTCGTCTATTTCTTATTATTGTGATTCACAACTTCTCGTTGGTCATTAATTACTACGTAAAATACATTCATTAGAATGTATGAACTTTCGGAACATGATTAATTGTTGTATGAAAATAAATTAAGAGAATTCAAAGAACTACTTGAAAACTTAAAAAGTTGTGTACTTACGAGGGTTTCACATTTTTTTGTACCGGTTAATTTGGACCAATTTAAATTTAATTATATATTAGATCAAGTTGTGCTTGAATATTATCTTGATTAAACTCGGGTCTGGACCAGATATGATTATGGATCGAACTTGGACCAGGATTAGAACCGTCCATGGTCAATGGGCTGATTAATCGGGTCAATGTGTCACAAGTCACATTTGAAAAAAATGTTTTTTGAAAAAAAGCATATTTGTAACTCGTATGAATCTACAAGTGGTAATTTTTTGAAGTAATGATTATTGAATAATCAAGCTTCAATAAGAGGGCAAAGAAAGCTAACGCTTTAGATATTGACTTTCTAAAATAAATTTAGGACAATTGGTAAAGTATTGTCAATATCCCTTGACTTTCTAACTTAAGGGCTGGAAAATAAATTTAGACAATTAGTAAAGTATTTTGGGTGAATGGAAAATTAATACATGTAATAAACCACAATATTCAAATTAATATGGAAAATACAAAAATAAAAATAAAAATCGAATATATAGACACATGGACATCCGTTAATACATTTTCAACTAATAGGTTTCCTAAAAGCAAATTTTAATCACCATATTCGAGTTGGAAATATTTTTTTGTCATCGTAATTTGAGATTCGTAGTGTTGTGCTATCTCGAGTCTGAAAGAGTAGATGGTTGGTACTAACAAATCAATGAGCACTAATTCAGGACTTTTTTTTTTTTTTTTTTTTTTAATCGAGTTTTTGTCTCGACTCAAAATTTATGCTATATTTTTATAGCCATTTCGAAATACATCACGCATTTTTTTTATAACAAGCTGTCTCGCGTTCCCTAGTTATAATGTCATAGTAGTTTGTACTATGGACGTTTGAATCGCACCTATTACTTTCCATTATTTCGGAAGATAAATATGTACCACATAAAAGAAAAAGAAAAAAAAAACAAGATAAATAAACGAAATAGACCCTTGTGGTTTGTAGATCTAGCAAATGCATGGTGGTGACAACAAAATAAAAATGAGTAATTAATTGAAATAGACCATTGTAGTTTGTAGATGTTTGTACCACATGAATTGTCAAGTGTTCATTCATTGAAATTATTAAGCCCAAATTATCAAAAAAAAAAAAAAAAAAAAGAATGAAAAAAGAAAAAAAGATTATGAAGCCCAAAAAAAAAGGACAATTAGGCATGATGTTTACTTTTTTTTTTCCCCTGTGTAGTGTAGGAACCGTACACTCTCGTATAATAACTTTCGAATCATATGAAAAATGTGTGACAAGCACATGCTCCATCTAGCAACCGTTGACAAATAAATTCGAACTTAGATCAATTGACACATGCTTACTTGTGTGGCAGTGAGTCGTCCATTGGATAAAGGAATATCACTCGTTCCTTAGCCAAACCTAGTACACTTGTTTCTAATTGTTGGTTGGTAGTCAATTAATATTTCTTCTCAACTGTTATGTCTTTTTCCTAATTAATAGGGGAATATTTACTTGTCTTTTGTGTTGTATAATTTTGTGTCTAATTTATTTGTATTTTGAGGGGAACATTTCATATTATATCAATTTCGTCAATTTAATTTGTGTTAAGTAAGTTGTGTCGTGTAAATAGATTTTGACAATGATAATCTCAAACATTACAAAACACAAAATTTGTGAATGTTTTATTGGTTTTCAATGCGACCTGAATCAGTGTAATATAATTTTGTATGAGCAAGTTATGATTATTTTATTTAATTTTACTGTTTTAGACAATAAGAGTAATTCAACGCATTTTTTTTTTATTTTTACTTTTTTATCATGATCCAAAAAACAACCTTAGAAATTACAAAAGATATAAGCTATGAAATTTAGTTGATCTTTCCATTACAATAGTAGTTTGTCTTTAATTCCACTTTGCATCCTTGAAAGTAGTTTTTTGACATTTTGACACTAAAACACAATAAATCATTTACAATACACCTCATGTAGATTTTATTAACCTATGAGGATAGTTTGTTCTTAGTAATAATTTTTTTCATGAAAAAAAAAAATCACACCAATGGCTTGAAAATTAGTTTTTTTAAAAACAAAAAAAACATTTCCAAATATTTTCTGGTTAAATTATCCGAGAGGTATGTCTTTTACTAGAACCCGTAAAACGAAATTAATGAAATCAATCATGGTAAAAGAAAATCTTTCAGCCATTTCCCTTTATTAAAATAATTTCACAAAATAATTTCTTTATTATAAAAGATATACCGATTTTTTTTTTTTTTTTGGAAAATAGCAAACTTATAATTCCATTAATGAAAAAAATCAGAAAATACAATGCTAGATATGAAATCTGGGAGAACAATTTTGCGATTTCGTGGGCAACACGGTTACCTTCCCTTTTCACATGGCAAACTTTGAAGTCTTCAAATACGGTTGAGAGTCTTTTGATATCGTCGATGAGTTGACCAAAACTGAAAAAAAGATCCTCCTTCACCTTGGATATCTGCGACCATGGTACTGGAATCGCTTTCTAAAACAACTCGATGCATATCATGATCGCGAGGGAACTCCATGGCTCTGAGTGCTGCCATTACCTCCGCTTTAGTTGCGTCTAGACGTTGATTGCAGCAAGAAGAGAACCAAGCAACGCATTTACCATCGAAAGATTTTGCTATCCACCTAAACCGCAACTATTTTCATCTGAACCAAGGGAAGCATCGAAATTTATTTTTAACACATCCCTAGGTGGCGCCTCCCAATGAGTTAACATTCTTCCAACTGCTCGAAACGAATGTGGACTAAGAACAACTGAGAACGCTCCTCGCAATTCCATGATGAACTTCTTGGCGAAAACAATGACATCCATAGTTGAATAATGTACTTCCTCGAAACAACACGTATTTCTCTTATTCCAAATGGCCCAACACAATACAACACAATATTCAACTTGTGCACTATCCTGCCTTTTCATGCGCATGAACCAATCGAGAAAATTTCGCTATCTCGGCCAAAGTGTCGACCATAGCACTCCACTTAGCGCCTACACTTGTCTAGCGAAAGAGCACATTGATAGGCAATGGAGAACATCTTCGTCGTCATCAGTGCATACTTTCCATGTGCATACCTCAAGCACCCTTCGATGTACCAATTAATTGAGTGAGTAATTCTTTTATTAAAAAAAAATCACAAATATATATATATATATATATATATATATATATATATATATATGCCATTAAAATTTGAAAAGATGAATTTGCCTCATTAACTATTAAAATTTGGGTATTTTGAAAAATTCCGATTTTTTTTTTTTTGTCATACCCAACTAGGGGTGGAAATCGGACGGAATGGATCGGAAATGCCTTTTTCGGAAATTTTTCAATTTTTTTCGGAAGTTAAAAATTGGTTCCAATTTCCATTCCAAAAAAATCGGAATTTCAAAATCTCTTCCAGTTTCGGAATACCTCGGAATCGGCGGAATTTCGGAATTTTCGGAAATTGCATTAATTCTTAATTTCTTGTTCCAAAATCTGAAATAATGGTAATTTTTTAGTATTTTTGTTTAATATTTTTGTAATTTTCCGGCAAAAGGCAAGAATCCAAAGCAAATGTCAATAAGATGAAATGTAAACACTTGTAAAAACAACATAATCGGTTTATCAAAGCAACCATAATTCTTGCAAATTTTCAAAAAAAGAAAAGTAAACATAGTTTTTGCAAAACATGAGTAGAAAAACAATTAAAAAATAATATATATATATATATATATATATATATATATATATATATATATATATATATATATATATATATATATATGTATTATATTTCGGAAATACAATGGGATCGGAAATCGGAATTTCCAATAATTTTATATGTAATTCCAATTCCGTTCCAAAAATAATCGGAAAAATCGGAAATCGGAATATCGGAAATCGGAATGAAAAAAAGTGTTCCAAATTCGGATATTTTCGGATCGGAATTGGCGGAATTCGGAAATTCCGTTCCAATTTCCACCCCTATACCCAACCCAAATCCCCATTCATATAACCCGCGAATAACACATTAATTAGGATTGAAAAATTAGGGTTCTTCTCTCCCTAAATGACAAATTGTTCGAATTGAAATCATACATTACTTGTGTCCTATTTTGTGCTCCTTCTCTCATGACTTTTGAACCCTTGAGACGGGAACACCGTGATAACTTTCTAATCAAAGAAAAAACTAAAGATCCTCACAATTTTCGAACAAAAAATCCTGATTTTGTGTTCCGAAAGGTGAAATATGAGTAGAGTATTTGACGGTTATTGTGCAAAATAGAATGATATTAGGGTTTGGATTTGGTGGGAAGGGTGAAATGATGGCAAAACCCGTTGATTCGATGGAATTTTGTCAGTTCCGGTAGAACATACGCCAAAAGTTTGACTTTGGGGCAAAATGCAACATTAAACATATTTTGCAAGGGGACGTCTATTTTTTTAATTTTTAGGGGGCAAGTGCGAATGGTTTAAATTTTTAAGGGGCGAAGTGCAATTTGCCCACAATCTTTATATATAAAAGAAAGGTTTTCCCCGAAACCCTAAATGTAAACCTAGGGGTATTTTTGAAATTTTAATTTTTAGCCGTTTTTTTTCCCTTTTTCTTTTTTTTTTTCGTCCCACTCTGTATAGAAAACTGCCCACGTATCTCTAACTGCAAAACTTGTGTAGAAACTTCTCCCTCCACTTCTCCACTTACCCTTATTAGCTTCTTTGTTGTATAAATATATTAGCTTCTTTTTTCTGCAACAATGGAGCAAATCGAAAATCAGAAGCAATCTCATGGTAAGTATTTCTCCTAATATACCAAATTCAATATTTGTGTTTCTTCATTGCTTTGCAGATACCTGATGGAGCATTAGTTGGCAAAAAGTAGAATCCACAGCTCGATTATTTTTGGGGATTTTTATATGTTTGGAGAAGGAATTGAATTTTCTAATTCTCTGGTCTCTTAATTTCCCTCATTATCGATCTCTGCACTTTCCACTCCCTTATTTTCATTTTTTTCCGCCTACAAAAAGTACAGAATTGAAGATGATTTTAAATACGATCTTTGTTGCTATTCTGGACGAATTCTGAATTTGGTTTCAGAATTTCAAAGAGAGATTTGGTTTTCAAAGAGAATTTGGGGTCACCAGATTTGGTCTTCTTCAACTACATTACACTGTTTTCTTTCCACCAACCCAAGTAAGACCCTATTTGTTTTTTCCTTTCTTCATTGTTTTTACAAATGGGTTGTGTCTAACTTTTAAGTTTGCATGTTTAATGGTTGTAAGTTTCGCAAATTTGCTATGTTAGATAAATGGATCTGTGCAGACATGCTTTAATTTCTGGCCACCATTATCAGTTTCTGAATGTTTCCACAGCTCTTCTTTCCAATTTTTGTTTCCACCCGTCAAACAATCGCAACATAGCATCAATACATAGGAACATAATCCACCATCATCTCCATTCATATTATGGATTTTGCCGTCAAAGACCAATCTCTGCTTTTGGTAATTGTTTGTTTGAGAATTCTTTATTACTTTTCGTATATTATGGATGTAATTTTATATGATTGATTCTTTGTAGTAGCCGTGCACAAAATTGTTTTAGTTTTTGTAGATCTACTTCTAAATTTTATCTTTGGTAACGATTTATGCGTGTAAATTGACAAATTCCACCCAACTTGGTTGGTCGAGTGGTTGGTTTTGCATTCAAGCTGCGGCTCATGAAATTCTTTGTTGCTGTATTTACTTGCATCTTTGCTTTAGCCTTTAGGTATGTTGCTGTTAAAGCTTCAATAGTTCATCTTGCTGTAAGTGAAAATGGAAATAAGAGATGACTAATGGAGGCCATTAGATGGTACAATGCTTTATAATTGAACCGCAATGAAATTCTGGGGACCAATTTTCTTGACGTTATATCTTAATGTAATTAAAGTTGTTCTAAATTTTGCTATATTGTTTGCGTTATTCCGTTCTTTTTCGTAAAAATCAATTGATGGATCTGTGATAGTATGAAAAAATAATTTTTCTTTCTTTTCCGGAAAAGTATTTCTGTGAGCATTTTTGGCGAAAAGCTACTTTGCTCTTTTCTGAAAAATTCTTTAGCATAGACCTGATTTTATGCTATTCTTTTACCAGAAAAATATCGCTGCTCCTCGAAATTTTGTTTGGTTGTTTGCGTTATTTTGTTCTTTTCCGAAAAATTGTTTGTGGGTCATTGGGATAATGCGAAAATATATGTCTGCTCTGCGAAATTTTGTTCTTTTGTTTGTGTTAACAAAATTGCACCTTTATTTTGTAAATCCGTCTCTTGCGCTTCACTCAAGACAATATTGTTAGCAAAGAAGAATTCTACGTTTTCCCTCATACAACAGGCAAAACAAAAATGCGGATAACTCTGTTTTAATGTTCTTAAACAGCCGTGACATTTGTTAGCATTATATTCGGCGCTTTATGTGGCCTGTTTTACAGAGCTTTTACTGAATTTTCTACTATCATTGGAATTACCTCGGCTAGCTTTTTAATTTGTTTTTCCATGCATATTTTTCCTGTTGCGTGAGGCTATTTGTGTTTGATAAGTTGGAGATGACTGCAATATTGAAGATCAAGGAGACAAGTAATCCTCCTATTTGCTTGAGCGGAGGTCAGCATCATGACATTCTTATATATGTAATTTCAATAGTTAGTAATGATGTCTTATGAGATTGAAGATCAAGACTCATTATTCTTCCACTTGATTATCCTTATATTTTCTTCACGTGTAGGGAGGGAAAAAAAAAACATGAAGGTCTAACTTGGGGAATTGACAGCAAAGGGGTTTTGAGGTGTTGAATAGCTCTTCAGGTAATACTACTCTTTTAGTACATTGGAATAGCTAACATAATTCATTTAGGAAAAGAAAGGAAGAAGTTGATGTTACATGAAAGAGTTTGTGTTCCTATTCTTTCGTACTGCACTTGCCACTTATTTCCTATTGTACTAGGATTGAAATTATCTATGCAAATTTCAGAGTGAATATCCGCACATCTTTGAAATGTTTTCCCTAATGTAACTTTTCTAGCTGCAAGTATTTTGTTAACATGATGCAGGTTTATCTTTATTTATAAAAGAAAGGTTTGCCCCGAAACTCTAATGCTATAATTAATTGTCTGTTTTATTCGCTGCTTTCAACTCAACGATAAGAATAAATAAATAAATAAAAAAAGAATAAACCGCACACATTTGATAAACTGATCACGATCTACTCTCAAGTTTCAACTTCTGATAAAAATGATAACACCAACACGTTTCTGTCTCATTTTCTCCCACAACTCTGCAACAATTCGTAATCAGTCTTGCGAAATAAATTGGTGGCATAAAAAAATCTCTGCTAGACCGCAAGGCTGGGACGCGCCGCCGCTGACAAGAAGGTATTTGCTTCTTTTTCTTTTCCCTGATTCAGTCCTTTTTCTATAACATTCTTTTGTGTGTTGAATTTCTCATTTGGGGTTGTGTTTGATTCTTTCTGATTATCTCTCTTCCATCCTCACTCTCATTTGGGGCTGTGTTCATTCCTTTTTCAGAGGAGTTCATTGTGACGGTGACGAAGAACAAGAATCGAAGAAGCTAAATAATGACGATGATGTTTGTAATAATGATGATAAATAACAGCTCCAAGTAATCTGGCTGGCTTAGATCTGTTTAGCTATGGAACCAACCCCTAATCTGCGGAAAGAGGTAATTTAATTTCACAGATTATCATTTCATTTTTTTGTTTTGGTGTTTAGCGATTCCCAAGGAAAAATTGTTGTGACAGAGGTGGAGATAAATCGTAGTGGTGAGTGGTGACGCATTTCATCTGTTTAAGAATGAGAAGTGTACTACTGCCATTTCATCTGTTTTGTTTTCCAATATACAATCTCAAAATGTATTAGCCGAATATTATGTCTTGATGCTCTGGATTTTATTCATTTTCGTTCATATCTAATTTCTCGATGTTATACGTGATGATGGAATACCATTAGTTTAACCACTATATATATTATCAGACAAGAATAATTAATCACATAATACGATTAATGTGACCAGGACAAGCTTCTGGATGGGAGTACTAAGTAGCCCGGTTTGTTTGAGAGCTACTAGCATGACATGTATCCTTCTTTTCTTTTTTGAGATATTGTTTTGGATATAAGGAATTTTGTAAACTGGGATGGCGAATGTCAGCAAAATGTTATTAATATATCCTTAGCCTTCCGACATTAATCTTATTTTGATTTGGTTTCTTAACAGATTGTGAATTGATTTTCATGAATGATTGATTATTTGATCAAACAAACTGCCCTAATCACTATAAATTGATTTCTTTTACTTATTTATTTTGTTTTTTAACATTTGACGGTTATTCTATATGCAACATGTTTATCCCAGTTTTCTGCTTTTACTTTATTATTGAGATGAAGTGCAATACCATTACTGCTTCTAATCTTACTCAATGTTCTTGGATGAAAATTTTAACTCACTATTCTCATTGTAATAATTTATGTATTAACTCTAATTTTATTAATCCACCACAATGAAAGCAAGATGCAAATTGTTACTAATTTTGTACAAGTTAACTTTTAATGTTTTGCCCGGTTATTTTTTTTTTTTGGTTTATTGAATGCTTTAATTTTTATACAACAATTTATTAGAACAATTATTATTTCAACGTTTGTTATGCTACACCGTGCAACGCACGGGCGCGATTACTAGTTATATTAAATTTTAAATCTCTTCCGATTTGATATTATTCCCCCAAAATTAAATGAAAAAGGTTTCCCCAAAATATTTCCCGCAAAATAAAATTTCCAAAATTAAATGGAAAAAGAAAACCAAAATCATTCCAAACAATGACTCAGAAAATGGCCAAAGAATTGCAGGCATGGGCTTTGTATCAATACTAATATCAGCTGTTTAAAATACAAAAAAAAGGGTCTTTGCCTTTGTATTATTTAAAGATTCCATTTCAAGAAAGCAAATGAGATTCATTCTTGTTTATTTGATCCATCATCAAAAACTTTGTCCAGTGGGTTTTGACCAAAGCTCTGCCAATTTTACCAAGAACCCATTTTTAATGGCAACTAGGTATATTCAAATTTATTTATTTATTTAATTTTTATTTTTGAATTATTAAAGTATTTCTTGTTAATTAATGCTGGATGTCATCGATCTTGTGGGTTTATTGTTTAATTGTTCTTGTAGGGCCATATTAAATTACTACAGCAGAAGAGTGATACAAGGTGGAAGGTATCTTTATTATGTGTTATCTGCTAATTGTTTTTTGTTTTTAAAGTTGGGGGCAGTTATATATAGAGATAGAAAAATAATCATACTTTTTATTCTGTGTGTATAAAAATATTTGTTTGTAATAAATTGAAGACTGAGTCAATTTGGATTTGTTCATCCCCATACTCTGTCTGGTTAGGCATTGCATTTGTGGTCAACGATCATAAGAATGGAAACTGTCCAAATCTTGCATTACATTATTTTTTCAAGAAACTTCGGTTCGTTCGCCGTTTTTTAACTTTTAAGAATGTCTAAATGGAATACGAAAAGTGTCTTGAAAATGAGTTCAAGATTTGTGGTGTGTGTGCTTCTTGTTTCCGTTCGGATTCTTGATGTATCCGCTCTCACCGATAGTGGCGATCGTAAGTTTTTTTTTTATTACGTGATTTTACGTTTTGCATTTGGTGTTCTTGATTAGTTGAAGCAAACCTAGACAAGCATAGTTCTTCAATTTTAAGAGGTTTGGTATTTAGTTTGTTTGATCTTCGTACTATGTTCGATGAATTCGATTAATCGGCAACGTTGCAACGTGAGCCCAAAAACTTGTACCCGCAATGATTCAAAATGTCGATTAAATTGCATTTTAGAGAAACAATTTCCATATCGATCTCCATCAATTAGCTGTATGTTCTTATATAATCATTATATATGGTAAGAAATATTGTTATCTAAAAAAACGAGAGTGCATAACGATATTGGTTTCAGACAGTAATACTAATATCATTAAAGGCAGTTTAGAATCATGTTAGAGAAACAGGGTTGAAATAAAGACAGTTAACATTGATTCCAACAGAATCGAAGAAAGAAGTAGGTTTCTGAGGAACGAAAAGAGCATATTCTATCTCGAGACTTGCTTAACTCGTTTCGTAACACTTCAAGTTTACACCACTAGAACATCGAAACAAACTGAAAAAAATCGACACCAGGGTTACTCCCTCTTATTACATATAATTTTGTCGTGGTTCTTGACCATTTCTCGAACGGGATTTAATCATGTTAGAATATTAAATTTCTTAGTCGAACAAATGTAGAATCCACACCATGTTCATCTTTCTTGCAGTTGCTGCTCTAAACGCCATAAGATCCAGCTGGACAAACCTCCCACCGAACTGGATCGGCCCCGATCCTTGTGGCAACAATTGGGATGGCATCAGTTGCACCGCCACACGTGTCACCTCCTTGTGAGTCGCCATTTTTTTTTTTTTTTTTTTGAAATATATATTTTTTAATGTGATTGCTTCTTCGATTGCAGGATGTTGGCAGGAATGGATGTGCAAGGTAGCCAGTTCAGCGACATTTCATCGTTGACCGGATTAACCTTTTTGTACGTCCTCTTGACCGGAATAACACGGTTTCATAATCAAATTGCACTATATTAAGTTGTGTCGAACTTACGGCTCTTTTACGATGCAGGGATCTATCCAATAACATTGGTCTTAAAGGCATTCTTCCCCCTTCTATTGGAAACCTTAAAAACCTCTCGACTCTGTAAGCAAAAAAAAAAAAGAAAAAACAACAAATTTTCTTTTTCTTCTTAAGCATGTAATTTATTAATCAAAACCAACGTTAAATTTACTTCGTCTCGATGTAGGATATTGGTGGGTTGCAGTTTTTTCGGTCCAATTCCCGATTCGATAGGATCCCTACAGCAGCTTATATATATGTAAGAATCTTGATTGCCAAAACACTCCTTTAACTACGATAGATTTTAGTGATCATTTAAAAACGAGGATGAATATTATTAAATTTGTCATTTTTTTGTAGATCTTTGAATTCTAACGGCTTCAGTGGTCCGATTCCACCTTCGATCGGCAATTTATCGAAGCTATCTTGGCTTGATCTGAGTGTAAATAGGCTTAATGGCAGTATTCCTGTTTCGAGTGATACTGCACCTGGTTTAGATAAGCTGCTTAGTGCTAGACACTTGTAAGCCTTCTCTTTTAAACCCGAAAAAATATTTCGATTATCGGTTTTTTTTTTAAGTTTAATGTAAATTATTTATATATTTCTCGTAAATTTTGTAGCCATTTATCCAATAACCAGCTTTCTGGACCGATCCCTGATCAACTATTCAGCTCAAATATGAAAATGATACACGCGTGAGTTTGTATCTATCTGCCTATACACTATTTCACTTTTGATCTTTGATTGAATTTTTATCTTTTATTTTTTTTTGGTTCGTTAGGATATTCGACAACAATAAACTCACGGGAAATTTACCGACTTCTCTAGGAAATGTTCAGACATTGGAAGTCATGTGAGTACATATAATGCACGTTTCCGATTTTCGTACAATACTTGTTTACCCTGAATTTTCATCTCTAACAATGTTGAATATCTCGTCTTGGAAAAAAAAAAAAAAAAACAGACGGTTTGACGGGAATTCTCTTAACGGACCTATTCCACCGACTCTCCGTAACCTTACAAGTCTAAACGAGCTGTAAGAAGCAGCAGACGAATATTACGATTTTCATTACAGCAGTGTGTAACTAACTGCATTCCTTAAATTCGTAAAGTTGTGTGTTACGACGGTGGTTATTCCATTTGCAGGTACTTGTCCAATAATAATTTCAATGGGAATATTCCCAACCTTACGGGCTTGAACTTACTATATTACGTGTAAGTTCGCTGCATTTTTCGCGCAATCTATTCGTCTGAAAATGGAATTTCACAAGCATCTTGTCGAAAGATATTGATGTTTTTTCAGTCTCGTCGTTGACATTTAATAATTTGCAGGGACATGAGCAATAATAGTTTCAACGCATCGGGGGTTCCTCGTTGGTTTACTAACCTCCAGTCTTTGACAACATTGTATCTCTCTCTCTCTCTCTCTCTCTCTCTCTCTCTCTCTCTCTCTCTCTCTCTCTCTCTCTCTCTCTCTCTCTCACACACACACACACACACTTACGTGTAAACTGCAGAATGATGGAAAACACAAACTTGCAAGGACAAATTCCGGTTGACATCTTCCGACTTCCTCAGCTGGAGACAGTGTAAGCACATATCTATAAAATCATATTTCACCGTTTTCTTTTATTCGATTTATGCTAAAAAAATCTATAACTTCATATTAATCAGTGTGCTCAGCCGCAATAATTTGACCGGATCCTTAGACATCGGCAATAGCTACCGGACCAACTTAAATGTCGACTTGCAGAATAATTCAATCACCGACTTTCAGCAAAAAAACGATTACCGCTTGGACCTAACGTAAACCCCATATTTAATTCTAATTATTCTCGCAATTTTATATATTTTTCATCCCATTGCTAATAAATGTTCGTACCGGTACGGTTTCTTGATGGAATTTTCAGACTTGCTGGTAATCCAGTTTGCAATACTAACGGAGCGACGGCAAAATACTGTTCCATCAAAAAACGCGGCAATAATATTTCACCGACGAATAAATGCGGGACGAAATCGTGCAAATCAACCGACGTGTTGAGCCCTAATTGTCAATGCCTACATCCATACACCGGAACACTGCATTTCTTTTCTTTCTCGTTCACCGATTTACAGAATTCGACGTATTACGACAGTCTTCGTGGGACCCTCATGTCTAGTTTTCTCTCCAGAGGGCTTCCGGTTGATTCGGTCATCCTTAATAATCCGACGATGGACGTTAGTTCTTACCTACAAATCCCGTTGCAAATATTTCCTTCGGGCCAAGATTCTTTCAACCGAAGTTCCATTTCAACGATCGGTTTTCTACTCAACCGTCAGCCTTTCGAGATCAAATATTTCGGACCGTTCTTCTTCATTCACGAACAGTATTGTTGTTTTGAAGGTAACAACAATTAGGATCAAAAAATTCGTTACATATTGCCTTAATAATAAAGGGTTATTCATTTTGGTAACTATCGCCTTAATAATAAAGGGTTATTCATTTTGGTAACTATCGCCTTTTAGGATCGAAAAATTCGTTACATGTTGGAGTTATTATTGGTGTAGCGATTGGTGGTTCGCTTCTCGTGCTCATGATTGTGTTGGCGGGAATTTACGCTCTTCGTCAGAGGAAAAAAGCGAGAAAAGCTATCGAAAAGAGCAATCCTTTTGGTAATTAAATCAGTTCTTGTCTTGCACTAGACCAAAATAAATATAGTATTCATACATACATATACATATAAAATAATGATAAATTCAAATAAATGCAGCTTCTTGGAATGCTGAAAAAGAAAGTGCAGAGGTGCCTCAGCTTCAAGGAGCGAAATGTTTCTCGTTCGATGATCTGAAAAAAATTACCAATAATTTCTCGGAATCAAATTGTATTGGTTTTGGTGGATATGGGAAGGTAATTAAGCCATAGCGCTTGTATTTATTTCTATTTTTTCGGCGAACTAATTATAAAATATACCGACAGGTTTACAAGGGAATCGTTGGTTCAGCACAAGTAGTTGCGATAAAGAGAGCTCAACAAGGGTCGATGCAGGGGGCCCACGAGTTCAAAACGGAGATCGAGCTTTTGTCGAGGATTCATCACAAGAATGTGGTCAGCCTCGTTGGATTCTGTTACGAGCAAGGCGAGCAAATGCTTGTCTATGAGTATATATCTAATGGTACTCTCAGAGATTGTCTCTCAGGTAACTAACCCCGAAATTCTCGCTATATTTCTCTCTCTCTATATATATATTGATTCACTAGTTTTAATTATACCGTTTCGACTTCAAACGTGGTTTTGACCATTTTCGAGGCTGAATTTGGCAAAACTCAAAACACGGAATTTGCAGTTCATAGAGTTAGATTTCTAATCCGATTTGAATCATCAAGATTGGATGTCGGGTGAGAAAGATATGCATGAACCAATGAACACTACTCACAACTCTGTTGTTTTGAGTTATCTAAAATTCAAAATGTAACTCATTCATGCACAACTTTGTCACCCGATATCCAATCTCGCTTATTTGAGTTGAATTAGAAAACCAACTCAAAGGACTACGGTTTCCGTGTTTTGAATTTTGCCAAAAACAGACTAGAAAAGGGGCAAAATCACATTCAAAGTCAAAATGGTATTAGTAAAATTGAAACGACATGTAACATTTTAGTTATCTCATTAATGTTTATATACACGCGCAGGAAAATCGGGATTCTGGTTGGATTGGAGTAAAAGACTGAAAGTAGCACTAGATGCTGCAAAAGGACTATCGTATTTGCACGAACTAGCGGACCCACCAATCATACACAGAGACGTCAAATCGACGAACATTTTATTGGACGCTAATTTAAACGCCAAAGTCGCTGACTTTGGTTTGTCGAAGCTCTTGGGTGATTCCGGAAAGGGCTACGTCAGCACGCAAGTCAAAGGGACATTGGTTAGTCAATAAATTTCGAAAATCAACCATTTCTTTTTTAAAGAAAATTACATTTTCTTTATCGATTTTGTTCATTTGTTTATATTTTTTGCGGGTTTAATTCAGGGGTACTTGGATCCGGAATACTACATGACGCAACAATTAACCGAGAAAAGCGACGTATACAGCTTCGGAGTCGTAATACTGGAGCTGATAACCGCTCGAGTCCCAATACAGCAAGGCAAGCACATCGTAAGATTAGTGCAGGACGCAATAAAAGACCCGAACTACCCTCAACCGTTCGATCAGATAATCGACCCCACCCTCGAATCAGGATCGAAGATCAACGGTGTGAGGAAGTTTGCTGACCTGGCACTGAGCTGCGTCAGAGAAACCGCCACGGACCGACCCTCAATGGGCGAGGTTGTGAGAGAGATCGAGAAACTCATGGAGTTGGCGAAAAATTCTTATGACAAGAAAACGGAGAAGGGGTTTTCTTCGTCTAGCTTCGATGAACGAATCGAAGAGAGTCCTCTTCATTCTTCAACCACTGAGAGTTTCGATGTGAGCTATGGTTCTTTTCCTTTTAATGGAGGGCGACATTGATTAAATTGTTGAAAATATTGAATTAGAGTTATATATATATATATAACTTAGATGATAGTTTCTATGATTGTTTTGTGATTTGGTATATTTGTAGTCAAATTCCATGAGTCTTAGTGAGGTGTGTGTATTTGTTAATTATATATAGGCCAAACAATGTAAACTCGTTTCGGTTTCGGTTTCGGTTTCGGTTTTGGTTTCGTCTGTTGTATAGTTACAAGTTAGTTGCTCCTACTCGACAGTTATTTGGCACCGTTAAGTATATTAGTCTACAAAATGTCGTCTTTCCTTCATAAGCATCTTCTTTTTCCATTGTTTCTTCGAAAACGAATAAGAAGCATCAACAATCTTGCATGCTTTTATCTCTGGTTCATCCGTCTCTACAACTACATAATGTAAAGCATATTTCAATCCATTGTTTCAACACCATCGAACCACACTAGCAATACTCTTGTTTAATACGACATATACTACAATAGCCAGAAAAAACACAAAATAGTCTACAGATCGAGTAATAAGATAAGCCTCTTTCACACATTCTATATCAACCACATCAAACAACATACATCAAATCATTGTTAGGAACCAATTTAATGGTTTGAGGAAACACCGATGTCGTCGAGGCATAATTCCGACGAGTGAAAATGTTCAAAATGATGCAATTCTACAACAAATTCTTGTGATTTACTATTATATGTGTAGAGTTAGCTAAATTTAATTTTTTTATGATATTCAAAAATATATTTTGTTAAAAACATAAAATAATGTACACAATTAACACAAGTATATATATATATATATATATAATGCACGTGGCCCTTAAATTCTAATTCTACCTTGACTATTGTAGCTTTATGTTAGGTTAATTACTTAATTATGAGTGCATTTATCGATATATAAAAAGGCAAAGAAATTAGAAAAACAAATCCAAATTCATAGTGAAAAACAAATATCCGAATACACGTGGCCCTTAAATCCAAGTATCCTAGTGAAACACAAATATCTGAAATTGAACTAGGCACGTAACTCCCAAGTGTAGTGAAACACAAACTCTATTAATTCACCCTCTCTATATATACTTCACCTATTAACCCAAATTAAACCTCTCCACATAAACTAATCCAATCAATTACAAGTATATCCAATAATTAATTATAGTTATGGCGGCGAACCACGGCGGCGTTCTGGCGACTCTAGATTCGTCGAAAACGCAATGGTACCACTACAAAGCCGTCATTATCTCCGGCATGGGCTTCTTCACCGACGCGTATGACTTGTTCTGCATCTCCCTCATCACCAAACTCCTCGGCCGTATCTACTACCACGTCCCCGGCTCCTCCAAACCCGGTGTCCTCCCTCCTGCCACCGCCGCCGCCATCAACGGTGTTGCCCTTTGCGGCACCCTCCTCGGCCAGCTATTCTTCGGACTCCTCGGCGATAGATTGGGACGCAAGAAAGTATACGGGATCACCCTCTTCCTCATGGCTCTCTCTTCCATCGCCTCCGGCCTTTCCTTCGGCAGCTCCCCTAAAGCCGTTATGACCACCCTCTGTTTCTTCAGGTTCTGGCTAGGGTTTGGCATCGGCGGTGATTACCCTCTCTCCGCCACCATCATGGCCGAGTACGCCAACAAGAAGACCCGCGGTTCTTTCATCGCCGCTGTTTTCGCCATGCAGGGTTTCGGAATTCTCAGCGGCGGTCTCGTCGGCATGGGGGTTTCCGCTATTTTCCGTTCTCTCTATCACGCTCCTGCTTACTCCGTCGATCCGTTGGGGTCCACCCCGCCGGAGGCGGACTATGTGTGGCGGATCATACTCATGTTGGGCGCTCTACCGGCAGTGCTTTCGTATTACTGGAGGATGAAGTTGCCGGAAACCGCCAGGTACACCGCCCTGGTGGCCAACAACGCGGAGAAGGCACGCAAGGACATGGAGAAAGTCATGCAAGTAGAAATAACCATTCAAGAAACAAAGACTAATAAAACAAAATTCGGGCTATTTTCGAAAGAATTCCTACGAAGGCACGGCCTCCACTTGATCGGAACGGCAAGTACGTGGTTCTTCGTCGACGTGGCATACTACAGCCAGAACCTATTCCAGAAGGAGATATTCAGCGCAGTGGGGTGGCTGCCCCCTGCCAAAACCATGAGCGCACTCGACGAACTATTCAAGATCTCGTTCGCCCAATTCTTGATCGCATTCTGCGGCACAGTTCCGGGTTATTGGGTGACCGTACTTCTCATAGACAAAATAGGAAGATTCATTATCCAAATCATGGGCTTCTTCTTCATGACGGTGTTCATGTTAGCTCTGGCGATTCCGTACCACCACTGGACTCTTAACAAAGCCGGGTTTCTCATAATGTACGGCCTGACTTTCTTCTTTGCTAACTTCGGGCCAAACAGCACCACATTTATCGTGCCGGCGGAGATATTTCCGGCCAGGCTCAGATCGACTTGCCACGGGATATCGGCTGCAGCCGGGAAGGCGGGAGCGATCGTTGGAGCTTTCGGGTTCTTGTACGCGGCGCAGAATCAAGACAAGAGTAAGACAGATGCAGGGTACCCAGCTGGAATCGGGATAAGGAACTCGTTGTTCATACTGTCGGGAATAAATGTGCTTGGATTGCTGTGCACGTTTTTAGTGCCGGAGGCGAAAGGAAGATCTCTTGAAGAAATGTCGAGAGACGATGAAGAAGAACAACAAGATCCCCCAAAGTCTTCAGTGGTAGAGTCTGTTTAAGATCGGAGTCATATATAATCTGTTAATTAGGGTTTATATTGTAGATTAGTTGGCTGTTTTTCTTTTTTTTTTTTTTAGTTTTTGGATAGTTTCAATTGTTCTATTTCCTTCAAGTACAAATTTAATTTGATAGTTTTAAAATTTAATTTACTTTTTGGAGAAGACAAAACAAGAATTGTTGGACGATTATTTTTATAAATGTATCAAATTAAATAAATTGTTTTTCAAGAAGTAAAACCAACCGCATATAAAATAAATTTATGTAAACAAACTCAATAAATTAAAGGGAAATTTTGTCTAAAACTCCCTCAAAAATATTTTGTATGCATAAAAGTCCGCCCGAATATTTTGGATTTGCTAAAAGTCCCTCGGAGCAGATAGACAAATTAGACTGAAAATAAACAACTTATAGTACCCAATCTTTGGTCAATAGTACATGTAGCAAATGTAGTTCACATATAAAGGATCCTTAGCAAATATATAAATGCGAGAGCTCGAAAATTAATTCCGTAACTAAGACGGGTACATCATATTATATACAAGGAATAGAATGCGATGTTTTATCTTCTAATTATCAGGAACCTCATTGGTTGCTTAACGCAAGATCGTGCCAGGTGTCAGCCTCAACTTGCGGAGTTTCCTGGTCTGAGAACACAAACACATTCGTCATCACAAGCAACGAAACTCCGAACCAAGAAAAACGAAAGCAAATACACAAGAAAAACAATATGGCAACGACAAATGACAGTAATAAATTTTCAGGTTTCAAAGTCCCAATATTAAGAAGTTGACGACAAGTGTGTATTCTACGATGAAGTGTATAGAATATAGGGTCGAAAATCGTGAGTCGGATACTGCTACACCTGAAATAGTAGTCTTTCTTTTGAAATGTTTACAATTCAAACTCTTAAAAACTCTCGTCTAGTTTGCTCTTAAAACAAAATGAGTTGAATTATTATCAAATTGTAAAATCTAAAGTTATATTTCTGCATATTATCCTACATATACGTGCTCGATCAAGTGGCAAATCGAACTGTTTGCATCACGAAACAGAGAGATGAATCATAAGAAACTATTAAGTATGTTTCTAAAAGTTTTAGCATTTGAATAATAAACTAACTGGAGCTAAGGATTATAAAGTCACAACTAAATTGAATTTGTGTCGATAATGTTTCGTCATAGGGAAAATTACAGCCACCCCCGAGGTAAGCTCAAACTACAAAAAAGAAAACCCTTGTTTGGGTAATTACAACCATCCCTCAATCCCTCAATTATGCATAGTCTTACACATCCACCCTTACAGTATCAAATTTAATTTACCGACTGAATGGGGGTTTTTTCGTAATTATCCAAACAATAGATGTTTTTTCGTAATTTAAACTTACGGACGTAATTTGCCCTTGGTTATTATGCAATTAAAATCCGTAAATTAAACAATTTTGAGTTATTTTTCAAGCATTACCATGGGCTTAAAACCACATAGTTTCAGAGCAGTTCTTCATACCTTAGCTTCAAATACTTTCCTTCAAATCCAAATTTAACCTAAATTTTTTTCAACATTTGGAAAGCTCAAACTTTGAGCACAAATTAACAGATGAGAGATAAACAATCGGAATTAAGTAAAGAATAGATTTTTATTTAAAAAAAGAACATACTTGATTCTTCAGTTTCGTCGGTCCTGGAAGTAAGCACAGGAGGCAATGGAAGATCTGAAATAAATAAATAAGAAAAAAAAAAGAGAGAAATAATAAAAAAAAAAAAAATAAAAAAAAGGGGAAGTACCGTCATCTGGAAGAGTATCCCTCATCCATTCGTCATCCAAAATATCAATGAGGATGCCCAAGCTCAAGTCCGCCATTAATCCTCTCTCTGCTTCCTTCTTCCACACAAATCTGAAAATAATTGCTCGTTTAAAACCCTAATTGCACAATATTATTTCTTGATTTGGAAACTTTTTGCAGGGGGGAAGTCGATGAATTTCAATGTGCAAAACAAACCTCAAAAAATTTGATAGAGTTTTTTGAAACTATTGTTCCCAATTATTGAGCTTTTGATTCCAGGCCAAATGATGATTTTTTTTAATTTTTTTTTTTTTTTATTATAGTCGAAGTTAAATTAAAAAACGAGCCCTCATGTTTGAGTAATTACAACTATGTGTTGTTTTTCACCTCTAACTTTATGGCGTCAAATTTGCTCACCGAAGAAGTTTTTTCCTAAAAAAAACACAATAATTGACGGTAGTTGTAATTACATAACAAAAGAGATTTTTTTCCGTAATTTAATTTAATCTCAGCGGGTGACTGTAATTTGTCATTTTATTATAATTTGTATGGTATGGCATACCCATCCTATTATTTAAAAATAAGTTTTAGAAGTTTACGAGTTCGATTCACTAATTTTTTTTGAGTTTTAAACTTATTAATTTAAGTCTTTGAAATATATGTTCAATACGAATCAAAATCAAAATTCTATGTATACGATTTTTTACGATTAAAAAAATCCTTTTTTTTTATCACAAAATAACTTCGGCATATAATTTGAAATAGTATCAAATAATTATAAAGAATTATCACAAATAAATAAAAACAAATTTAGAATTAAAATAATAAAATTTTACTAGTATTTTCTAGTAAAAAGTATCAAAACAATCATTTGGCCAAATAACATTCGGTCCGATTTGCGATTTAACAACCATGTTTAAAAATTACGGCCATCTCCCTAAGGTACACACAAAGTACAAAAAATCCCTCATGTTTGATTAATTACAACCAACTCCCTCAATTATGTATTGTCTTACAAAAAAAACCCCTCATTCAACAAGTAAATTTAACACCATAAGAGTGAACGTGTAAAATAATACATAGTTCAAAGGTGATTGTAATTACACTAAACATAAGGATTTTTTCGTAATTTTAGCATACCCAAAGAAGATGGCATCAATTTGCCCTTAAAAATTATAAGTCATACCTACAATTGTGATCTAGTTGGTCTAGGAAATTAATACGCTTACCGACCCGAGTTCGAAATCACTCGTGTCATTCACGCGCTATTGCATCATTGCATGAGTGCAAAGTTTACCAATACACTCTATGGTTGTGGATTCCTTTGTCCAACAAAAGAAAAAAAGGTACATACATTTTGGAAATAAAATGTGCATATACTTTAATAACTTACTCCAACTAACATTAGTTACATTTTTGACACTAATATTATACTTTAATATATTAGAAATTTAGAATAATAAAATGGATCACAATTACAACCTTGTTGTTCTTTAGTATATTAAGTTTGAATATTGAATATTGAATATTGGAGAAGAAAGTAAACATGCACTGAATTGAAAAAGATATACTAAAAATCTTGAGACTGCAAACAAACATCAGTGTGGTTAAAAAAATAAAACATATACTACTACTCTATATGCAGAGCACTTCCTCTCTAAGGAACACACAAAATAATTTTCCAGTACTTGAGCCAAAATCATTAACCACCTCCAAAATGAATTGGCTTCTATTGGCATAAAAGACATGAGATATATAATAAGCCCGCCTGGCCAAAAGGTAAGCGTAGCGCAAATGAACGAGGTATAGTATGTAGATAGATGCCCCAAGAATCTTTGCACATTTTCACCCGATATATCGTGTCTTTTGAACACTACACTGCAAACTGGAAATATGTTTATATGAGAACTAATACTCCTTCTTGTTCGGGCATTCGGATGCACGGTGCCCACTGCGCCCACACACAAAACATGCTCCTCCAAAGCTTCTGTGAAATACATGTATATATATATTCAAATTGGCAACACAACTCTCGCGCATTAGGATAATAAAGAATAAAACATTTATACCAAAGTGGCACTTTTGAGCTGTCATTAGTCAATAGCAACAACTTATAGATAAAGATTCTCAGCCCAAGTGATGGAAATCGGACGCATCGGATCAGAATTAGCATTTCCGGAAGAAAAGAAAAGAAAAAAAAAACTGATTTTTTTCACAAGAGAAAAACGATTTCCAATTCCGTTCCAAAAAGAAGAAAAACAGGAAAATCAGAAATCTGAAATTCGGAAATTGGAATGAAAAAAACTTGTTCCAAAATCGAAAATTGATCGAAATCGGCGGATATCGGAATATTCCAATTTTTTGTCACCTAAAATACAAAATACATAATAATTTTGATGTTACAAGTCTAAATTTCGGATTAAAACAAATTCGGAATTTTCATAATTATTATCAGAAACTGAAATTGGACTGGAAATCGGAATCTCATATTTTTCCAATTCCAATCCAAAAACAATTCGGAAAAATTCGGAATTTCCAAGTTTGGAATGAAAAATATTGTTCCAAATCAGAAAATTTGGGATCAGAATCGGCGGAAATCAGAAATTTCTGTTCCAATTTCCACCCACTCAGCATTCTTTATTTTAACAATATTTTAAACCACGTCAGCGAAAAAGAAAACGGTAGTGTATTTGGGTAGAGAAATGTACCTGTCCTTGTCCCCAAAAGATGATGATCTACCACCCCCATAAGACGGTGATCTGCCACCGCAAAATACATGTATAAATCAATGATGTCAAATACGAGACCGGAATTGACAACTCTTGTTCATTAACATAATGAAGAAATCGTTTATACCAAACGGCATTTTTCAATAGTTATTAGCAACTTATAGATTATGTGTGCAGTATTTTAGATTCGTTTGAGGAGAGACACATTTAAGAAATATTGGAATATGCATTAAATGAGTTTTTACAAAAAGAAAATTAGTGTAGTGTTTGGGTAGAAAATAATGTACCTGTCCCTGTCACCAAAGGACGATGACCGACCACCGCCACCATAAGAAGATGATCTGCCACCCCCATAAGACGGTGATCTGCCGCCCCCATAAGATGGTGACCTACTCGTTTTTCTATCACTAATCAGCCAATCACTACTCCCACTGCTTCTCGAGTTCTTCGACCACCTATTTTCACCACCTCTGCCCCGGCCACCACCGCCGCCGCCTCTTTTGTAGCCGCCTTCGTCGTCATCATTGCCATCCAACCAGTCACCGGAAGATTTAAAACTACTTCTTCGATCGGTCGAACCTCTTTGCGGGCGCCTCTCATTGTTGGAAAACCTGCCATAATAGTCGCTTGCAGGCCCATCGTCTTGCAAAGTAGGTAACTGCAAAATCACAAAGCAGATTGCAAATACAGCATATCAGTTCAGTAAAACGTATCATAAATCTCAACGGATATCCATTAAGGCCCCTTTTGGTTGGGGAGATTAGCGTTGATTAAATAATTTTGCGGGTGAACCCGAAAATACGGTTTTATCACGGCATATCTTGTTTTATTGGGACATTATTTATTGGACCTCCATTGTCCAATAATACAATTGGGTTTTCATTAGATTATTTAATCTTATCTTAGGAACCAAACGAGGCCTAAGAAGAGTATATTCAGAAACTGGAAACCAGATAAGACTCGAACCTTAGAGATCTTGGCAATAGTATTTCCTGGTGGTAGTTCCTTATTTAGCAACTCTTTTGCAATCTCTTCTGGAAGATCGAAAACTGCTCCCTGAACCTGATATCAGCATAGAATATCTCACAGTTGATCAAAAAATCGATTGATGCAGTAACACCACAGAGTTGACCCTGTAACTGTAAGTAACCTTTTGTTTTACCTGTTCATCTGCAATAATGTGTATTCTGCCTACTTCACCGGCAGCAGCAGAATAAACATCGGATAGAAGCCCGGTCACAGATCTAGCAGATAGAGCTCCTCGAGAATAAACACTATCACGTGTCAACTGCAAGGTAACTAGACCCTGCGGTACAATAAAACAAAACAAGCACTGAGAATCGACACTAATATATAACATGAAATACTTTTCTTGTTGTTTCTTTGATTACCTGTTCATGAGTAATAAGAGAACGAGAGGAAGGAGGCTGTGAGAAACCACTCAAGGTAGCTATGGCAGCAGCAAGAGCATCTACTCCTCTTTCGTCCATGAGTCTTTGTGCAGTTGGAGTGAAGTACTGAATAGATTCGGGGTGGACCCCACCGAGTGTGGCAACTACTTGGTCGGCTGATGCTTCTAGAACCTCTTGAACAGATGGTGGACTAATAAACTCGAACCTGCACCCGACGTCACGCTCGAGAGACTTGACAGTTCGCCTCTGGCTACTGGTAAACATCAAAACAGCTCTGCCTTCTTTTCCTGCGCGTCCTGTTCTGCCAGAACGGTGCACGAATGTTTCTGGGTCGTTCGGAAGTTCGTAATGGATAATCTAAGAAAAGAAATGGCAGACAAAAAATGTGCATGAATGCCAAGTAAACACCATGTAAACGAACAATTAAGATGCTATATATATCAAGTGATGTAGTCAAACTTCCAAGTATATTAGCAGCAAAAGTGCAAAACAAACTTCGAAGAGAGTAACAACTCAAAAGTATAATCATAAAGAGATATAGAATAGAGGAGATAAAAGTTAACAGGGACACAAAATGATGGATAAGATTCCCATGGCATTTAATGGAATAGAAAGTCAGACGGAAAGGGCAAGATTGCTACGAGAAGTATGGAATAAAAAGCCTATTTTTCTAAGAAGATATGCATGAAGTCTTGTTGAACAAAAATACAATTTCCAATTCATCAACAGCATAACACTAGGCGGCTTTGGCGTAAAAGAGCCCAAGTGCAAGACTATCTCCATCAAATACTATTATGACGACGAAATGGCTACCCAAAAAATTATCTTTGTTTGAACAACCATTACTTAATTAGGAAAAAAAAAGGTTTAACCAATGGGACATCTCACTATACATGATATTCAAGTGTGCCTCATAGCCAACTAGACATATCTGTAGTGATACATATAGGACTAAGACGATCATATTTTAGAGCATTTAGTTCAATACCCACTTTCCATGTTAAATAAGATCTCTGTTAAGTAGGTCACTCGGATTTTTAGATGAACTTACAAGGTCGACATTTGGAATATCAAGACCACGAGCTGCAACATCAGTGGCAACAAGCACCGTAAATCTTCCTTGTCTAAAAGCATTCAATGTTCTTTCCCTTTGGTGTTGAGAGATGTCGCCATGCAGTGCCTCTGAAGGGATGCTGTTTGTCAATGCTAGAGACACTTCATCAGCATCTCGTTTGGTCTGCGTGAAAACAATGGCTTTCCCACCTTTTGCATAAACCTGTAGGGGATTTTTTTTTAATCTAACAAACTACAAAACATTTTTCTGCATATGAACATTCTTTAAAAAACATGAAAAACCGCAAGTTCAGCGAAAATAAAGAATTGACTAATACCGTCACAAGATCACCGAGGATACTCCGCTTAGATGTTGTTGTAGTTGGAATAGCATATAGCTTAATCCCTTCTGCCAATTTCTCGTCTTGATCACCAACCTATAATCGATAAGCAAAATGATTTGCAGAGATAAAACAATGACAAACATTTCATACTTATGTAATCTATCTTATGAAAAATGAAACTTACGAGATCAATAGTCAGAGGATTATTCATAAATCTTCGAGCTAATTTCTTAACCCAACTAGGCATGGTTGCCGAAAAAAGCATGCTCTGCCTCACTGGGGGAAGCTTCTCCATAATGGTTTCAACATCCTCCTCAAATCCAACTGCCAGCATTTGATCAGCTTCATCGAGGACCAAATATTGAACTTCCCCCAATTGTAAGTTATTGTTATTGATCAGGTCGATAATTCTACCGGGAGTTCCGACCACAACATCAACTCCACGTGTAAGTGCGCTTTGCTGTGTGACATACGAAACCCCTCCATATATGCAGACAGTGCTCAAATATGGGGCGGACTCGGTAAATTCTTTCTCCACTTGCTTAGCTAGTTCCCTCGTGGGTGCGAGGACCAATACTTTCGGAAAACGGCCCCGTCTTTGAACAAACAAAAAAAAAAAGGAAACTGTTATAGCACTAATATAATAAAAAGAAACAACGTGTTTAATCATTGTATGTGAAATATGTACCTTAAAGAACCTCTTTCGTTTTCAGCATCAAGTCCTTTGAGTATGGGAATACCAAATGCTAATGTTTTTCCTGTCCCGGTCTTTGCACGAGCGATTATGTCACGACCTTCCAATGCAGGCACTAATACGGATCTCTGCATAAGCAAACAGCAAAATTGATCAGTCCAAGAATTTCGAAAAGCCCAAATTTCAAAAAATGAACATCAACCATAGCTAAATATTTACTTTTGATTACAAGAAACATTAGTCCTTTACGATGCGATCATAAAGCAGGACAGAGAAACAATATGCATTCCCGTCGTGTAAATAAATCCTATTGAATATCGAATAAAGTCTTTAGTAATACTTTGTCAAGGTGTAAAGGTAACACAAAATGGAAGTTAATTTCTTCTGTCGTGGTAACATCAAAGAACTATATGTTTTTGAAACGTAAACAGCTCAAACTCCCTGCATAATAGGAACATAAGGAGAAAACACACTTTAAACTCTGCATTATCTCATCTTCTTTCGGATAAATTTTGAAGCTAAACAAATGAAGAAATCAATTTCAACATTCGCCAAAGAACAAAGACAAAATAGTAAGTATCTCCACTAAAAAAAATAAAGGTACAAGAGAATGAAAAAAATATATATATATATGCACATACTTGAATAGGGAAAAGCTGAGTAATTCCACGTTTGGCGAGCGTGTCGACAAGGCGCTGAGGCAACCCTAATTTAGAAACATCGAGTTCGTCAACATTAGCAGCCGCAATTCCACCGAATCCACCTTCAGCAGACCCTACGCCGTCGTCGTATTCAGCGCCGCTAACATCCAATTGGCCCTTTCTGAAACCCCCGAGCCCCTTGAACGCCTCCTCGCTCAGAACGGAAGAGTTGGGGGCGAAGACGGCCGAAGTAACGAGAGACTTGGAGGCCGACTTGAGGCGGGCGGCGGAGGAGGAGGAGAAATATCTGAAGGGGTTATGGGCTGTGGAGAAATGGAAGGATAAGGGGGCGGCGGAATTGGAGGGTTTGGGGTGGTCGGCGGCTGGGTTGGTCTGGTAGACGGAGGAAACTCCGATGAGAGATGAAGCCATGAGAGGATAAGGGTGGAGAGGAGAGGTTTATGTATATGGTACAATAAACTTCCACCGAGTGCTTGCTAAGTGGAGTTTTATGGGTATTTATTTATATTTGGGGGGTTTTTTGGATTTTGGGAGATATTGTATAATATTGATTTATTGGGTTAATTACGGTCACTCCATGTACTACCGTTAATTCCGAAAAAACTTCTCTTGATCAACTAAGAATCTTTTTATATGTTTATCCTTATATTGTCAAATTTAGTGGATTTTTTTAGAATTATGTGGAAGATTTTCTAGTTTATGGTATTGTACCCGTTTTACTCCTTTTCAGCTCTACATTATGAACCAAGATGATCATAAGATGCGGCTTTTGGCTTGTAAATATCATATTGTGGTGCATCAAAATCTGTCTTTTTGAACAAATTAGATAACATTGCACGGAATCTGGGAGATTTTGTTGAATTTGACACCATAATGATGAATGTGTAGAAAAATTCATAATTAAGGCGTGTGGTTGTAAATAGAAAAGATTTTTTCGTAGTTTGAATTTACCTCGGGGTCACCGTGATTTAACCTAATTTATTTCGAAGTGTGAATGAAATGGTTTTTGGCAAATAAATTGGTTTAAAATGGATATATTTTTTACATTAAATAAAATGGATATATTTTTAGATTAAAAAAAGGGATATAGTTTTTAGATTAAAAATAATTATATATTGCAAGGGATGAGATGAAGGTTTGTTTATTGATACTTGGTGAAATTTACAGAGACTTCGTGGTATCAATATACTGAAAATTATTGATGTATATTTTGCACGTTACGATGTGTATGCGTGTTTCTATATAGATTTTCGGTGCAAAGCTACTTGATGTATTACACCATGCAATGTATATTTGGTTTGTGTTTGCATATATTGCGTAAAACTATTTAGTGAATTTCATCGGATGTAATATCTGCACGAGCTATGATTTGGTCCGTGGGGCTTGCTTCTCTTCCAAGACACGCGAAAGTCCTCCGATGAAGGTACCTGCAACGCCGGGGGAGATCCCGGCGGGAAAACTTCGACGATCAAGTCAGTTATATGTGATTTAAGATGTTATTACTATGAAAAATGTAAGTACGTGAGTATATATGTGTGAATAGATAATGCTCCCTCTATTTATAGATGATGAAACCTTGGCCTCCAAGGTTTCATTTTTTAGGGTTTTTTCTCCCTCAAATTATATTTCTTGGGCCTTTATTATTTGGGCCTGCTTAGGCTTTACGCATCTCCTCGGTACCAGGCTTCGGTCGTTTTTATACTCGGCTGCGAGCGACAGTGTGCCGAAGTTTTAAGTCGTTATTCGGAGATCACAATTCGATATTTTTTCTTATAATAGTGAGTCGGTTTTTCTTAACTCACATTTGTTCATCTCGGTCAGAATGGCCCGTATCAACTACTCCCCCCTACTCCCTATTTATAAGACGAGTTCGTTATTTCTCACCTCGTTTTATAAGTATGGAGTACGAGGTAAGAGCTCGATTCTGACTTATTCTTGGCAGACGCACGCGCGCCTCCTTTTCCATTAATTACTCTGACACCAAGTATAGTCGATTCGAGTTCCCTAGGTCATTATTGAGAAATTTCAATCGGTGCTTTTTACGTCAGGTTCGAGGCGCTTTACTTTGGATCTCGTCCGTCCGAACAAACGGCTAGGATTGATTCCCCCATTTTTCTTCCTTCTATAAGTATCCGGCTTTTGCGAATTTCCAAAATTTTTCCTCTTTCCACCTCTGTGCTCTCCCTCTCGTTACTTTCTCCTGGCGATTTTGCTTTCAAAACAGAGTCCTTATCTCCCGTGTTTACCCTCTTCGTCGGCAAAGGTACTGCTTTTCCCTTATCTTTTACTACCTTTGTCTTTTTCTTCCGATCACATATGTCCTCCCGTTCCCCCGATCCCTTTGGTCAGAAAATGCCTTCCAGCCACTGTTCTGGGGAAGGGGACGAGCATCCTACCCTTACCATCTCTTCCTCTTCGGAAGAAGGGCCTTTCTTTTCTCCCTCGGGTAAGCTCTTAAAAAATTCTAAGAAAAGGGCTAGGGATGACATTCTGTCCTCAGCGAGGAGTGGTTCTCCTTCGTTGTCTGAGGGGCGAGATCTGGATGATCAATGGGGGCCCAATACTTTAAGCGAGATAGATCTAGTTAATTTAGCTCGTGACATAGGTCTTCCTACTGATATTGAACTGGTCTTACCTTCTCGGGATGAACGCCCCTTAAACCCTCCCCCAGGTTTTAGCACCTGGTTTTCGGAGCAATTTTATTTCGGCCTTTCCTTTTCCATCTCGCCTTGGTTTTCCGAAATTACCCAAATATGTAATGTGTCCCTTAATCAATTTCATCCTCACGCCATAATCATCATGACTGGGTTTCGAATGCTTTGTGCCTGGTCCGGGGTGACTCCTACCCCAGCTCGATTTCGATGTGTCATGGTGTTGAAGAACTCCAGTCCTTTCCATATTTCGATCTCGGCTCGTCCGGGCTTCAAGGTACTAATGCCGCCCAATAAAACAGATGGGTGGCAGGGCCATTATTTCTTTGCCAAAAACCCACCGACACCCCTTATTTATGCCCTTGGCTCGCCACTTTACCCGAAAAAAGAAGGGGAAAACCCCTATCGATTGATGACTGGCTCCTGAAAATGATTGCTCATTTTCAACCGAGCTACGGTATTCCCGATAGCCTTACGAGCTTCCCGCCGATGCTCCGCCACTTCTACTTTCATGACAACGGCACTTATGCTCTAACTCAAGAGGACTTAGGTGGGTCTAGATATGATACCAACCTTACTTCGGTTACTTATTTCTTTGGGTTTTTCCTCATTATCGTTTCCTATTCGGCTATGTTTATACTTGTTTGACTTTTGACAGTTGCTTACCTCGTTTGTCTTAATTTTATGAACAGACTTGAGGATGAAGAGGATGTTCCGAGGTAGTAAACCAATAACCCGTCCCTCCGAACCGGAGCCCGGGTTCCAGGCGTCCGAGTTTTAACGTCCCTTGGCCACCGATTCCGAGAAAAGGCCATCGGACGAGGGGGCCTCAAGACCGAAGGCCACCAAGAAGAATGTTGGGCCCACGCGTCCACGAGGTGGGTTACGAATTGAAGACTCCGAGCCCCCTCAGCAGTCGTCGGCCTTAGTCGTGGCTTCCTCTTCGCTGCCTCCTACGGCCGAAGAAGTTGCAGAGAAAGAGCCTTCTTCGAAGAAGAGGAGGGCTGACCTGGCCCTCGGACCAGTCAGTTCGCATCCCCTTCCGGACTTCGCACTCCATCTCTGCCAGAACGCGGAGAACGCCATTGCCGCTTGTCGGGCTTTGGCTTTTCCTCGAGATGTTGCCTACTACGGGCAGATGAGCAAGGGTGACCGACTCGAGCTACTTCTGCACAATATTACTCAGGTTGGTAATAATTATGTTTCGTATGTACGAGTTAATACTGTCTTTACACTTTTGCTCACAACTAACTTTATTTGAGTTTCTTGTATGCGTAGCAATTTGCCATCGCCTTCTCGGGTCCTTTAGGATGGGATGACGTCTCTCGCGAGGCGTATGATAATCAGAAGAAAGAAGTGACCCAACTTCGAAGGGAGGTCCGAGCTCTAAATGAGAGCTTGGCATTGGCGAAGTCGTCCAAAGAGGGGTTGTTCGCTGATGTGAAACTGGAGCAGGAAGAAAAGAAGGTTCTGCAAGCAGAGAAGAATTCACTGATGTCGCATAACGCTAGTTTGGAGGAAAAACTGAAGGTATTGTCCAACGAGCTATTTGCTGCCGGAGTGCAGGCATCCGCCAACTTTACTGAAGGCGTGAAAGAAGGGCATAGACTATTCCCCGGGTCATCCGAGGGACTTCATTTTATGCAAGAGTTAGTTCGTCGTTTCTTCTATCGCCTATGGCCTTCGACGACTTTCACTCGGGAAGCTTCGAACTTAGCTCGCTTCTTTTTCTCTGCCGCGGTCAAAGCTGTCCAAAAACGGTTAAGTGGTGCCGGTATTGAGTTTCCGTTGATCGAGAATGAGCTCGCCGAAGATCTTCCAGACAACGAGATTCCGGGTTTCGAATGGGATGTGGATGAGGATCCCGACCTAGTGTGGTGGAAACAAATATACCGGGAGCTCGTTGAGGATTTTGCTCGTCAAGGGACCTCGTCGGTGATCATCACCGAGTATGTCGGGGACGTGGAGACCGTTGAAGTGGTGGCTAGCCTGAACGAAGTGCAACCGAATCCTGCTTTAACTCCGTCTCCCCCCGCGGATAATCCAGACGAAGTGAGGACGGGTCCTTCTGAAGCGAGAGACGAAAATGTTTAAGTCGTTTGTACTTTGTTTGAAACCATGTACTTTTTTGTTTTTGTTCCGAACAATGTTTTGTTTTCGCCATTTTCCTTGTGTAATGTATTTTATCTCAGCATCTCGTTTGCTGGTTTTATTCTATATCTCTTACTCAGATTCTATGTTTTTTATGTGTTTCATTATTTTGTGCCGGTAGTCATGAGTTTATTCAATTTTCTCAATTCGTTGATAATTTAGCTCGATCTAACCGACTTTGTTGGTATTTAATCTCTATTTAGCGATTTGTCTCATGATTTAGCTTGACTCGTTCATATCAATTCGATTTTACAACTCAGCTCGATTTAACGACTCATTTTTGCAACTCAGCTCGGTTTAACGACTCATCTTATTTAACTCAATTTGTTCAACTCAGCTCGATTTAACGACTCATTTCATATCAACTTATTTATGCAATTCAGCTCGATTTAACGACTCATTTCATATCAACTTAATTCTGCAACTCAGCTCGATTTAACGACTCATTTCATATCAACTTAATTCTGCAACTCAGCTCGATTTAACGACTCATTTCATGTCAACTTAATTCTGAAACTCAACTCGATTTAACGACTCATTTCATATCAACTTAATTATGCAACTCAGCTCGATTTAACGACTCATTTCATAGAAAGTAAATGACACGGGGATTTTAACGTGGAAACCCTCCAAATGAGGAGAGAAAAAACCACGGGGCCTAGCCCTG